CAGAGGACTTCTATGGCGCTGATAGCCCGGAACTCAAGCGTAGCAATACACAATTTGTCACCAGTGCGCATGTTATAGCTGGTACGTCACTTTTCTTAGCGTAGACATACATTTATTTTATCTTACTTTATTAATTACAAAAATTATGATCATGAAAATTATTGATTGAAATGTATAGATTGTTACCAAACTTTTAAGCGTAGACACTTTGTAATACAATGTGTTGATTTGTGTCCATGTGTTTATGTGTTGTGATGTGTTTTCAAGTGTGTTTATGTATGTTACTGTATGTGTGTTATTGTGTGTTCATACATCAAGCTACCGCCCATGTCTAGCAACAACTTTCTACTTAGCAGTACCAAAAACGCCCTCCCTTGTGGCGGTTGTCATGGAAACCACGACTGCTGTCGTCTGGACACAACCCAGGGTCGAGGTCGTGGCGTCACCCACCACACCATCCACCACACAAGTTCCAGCTACCACATCAGCAGCACCAGAGACCGTTGTCGTCCCCACAACAACGACAGCAGCGGCGCTACTTTCACAAACATCGACGGCAGCCACCACCAAAGTGTTAGTGAAAACACAGATGACTACAACAACTACACCGACACCGCTTGATGTCGCACCGTTAACGACCAAGGCAGCAACTGCGGCTGTAGTACTCACATCTACAACGACGAAGGCTACGACAACAACAGCAACAAAAACTACAACACCTGCCGTGGTAAATCCAGGTGAGAAACCTATATTTTAGTTCTAGTTTCACTTCCCAATTCTTTTGATCAACCTGACAGCAGTGAATCGAACTCCCAGCTGTTAAGGTAGCGTATGAATACACTACCGTTTGACCACGCCGTAGTTAGACTAAAGTAAAAAAAGCAAACAGCTACAGCCTTAATTGTTGCATTCACTCATTAAAGAAACAAAATTCCGAAAAGGAGTTGACATCTTACCTGTATGTTATATATGTACCTACATAGTGCATGTGTAACTGACATCCTAACGTATGCTCCACAGTACTCTAAACCTAGCTCCTGCTGATGTAACTAACATGTCGTATGCTCCACAGTACCCTACACATGCATATACCTAGCTCTTGCGTATGTAACTAACATGTCGTGTGCTCCACAGTACTCAACTACACATACATTTGCCTAACATGTCGTGTGCTCCACAGTACTCAACTACACGTGCGAGGATGGTGTGGAGGCCCACCCCACCAGCTGCACACAATACATCCAGTGCAACTTCGGCCAGCCCATCCCCCGACCCTGCTCGGGCGGACTCGTTTTCGACCCCAGCAGCAAGGCCTGTGTCTTCCCCAACCCAGACGCCCCCTGCCTGACCTTGACCCCGTGTGACGACATCAACGGCGGCTACTTCCGGCACCCAAACAACTGCTCCCTGTTCATCATCTGCGACCACGGGCAGACGGTCGTCCAGTCCTGCAGCGAGAGCCTGGCCTGGGACTCTGATAAAAACAGCTGCGTGCCACGTAACTCGACCGACTGCTGATAAAAACAGCTGCGTGCCACGTAACTCAACCGACTGCTGATAAAAACAGCTGCGTGCCACGTAACTCAACCGACTGCTGATAAAAACAGCTGCGTGCCACGTAACTCAACCGACTGCTGATAAAAACAGCTGCGTGCCACGTAACTCAACCGACTGCTGATAAAAACAGATGAGTGCCACGTAACGACCGACTGTTGATAAAAACAGCTGCGTGCCACGTAACTCAACCGACTGCTGATAAAAACAGCTGCCTGCCGCGTAACTCAACCGACTGCACGTAGCTCGTTAAGATACGTAGTGGTTCAACAACTGCTGTATGTAATGCAGCGTTAAGCCACTTCTGCTCACAGACACCCAGACCCTTAAAGCGATGTGCTGGTATGTGTTATCACAATGAACGCTGTTACTGTGAGTGTGTACTGAAGCTCTAACACTTTCTACATTATTTATTTAGAGTATATCTTGTTTGGGTTAATGTGATAGTTACATTTCATGTATAGAGATAGACAAAGAGAAAATTACCTTGTATTTATCTCTTTAATTATTCAGTTAAATAGACAAAACTATATTGTTGTTTAAAGATTGATCTAAGTTTAACATTTTGAATATGTTTAATTTGTATTCTAACTTAGCTACAAACTTTTCGGTTTAAAAACGATCACCCTCAAGTTTGAAATAGCTACGACGTCTGACTTAAGTTGTCACCTTCACTCTTATTACTCATCATAACTGCTATATACATCTACCACATCATAGCCATCCACATCTACCACATTATAGCCACCATCCACATCTACCACATCATAATTAACATCCACGTCTACCACATCATAATTAACATCCACGTCTACCACATCATAACCATCCACATCTACCACATTATAATTACCATCCACATCTACTACATCATATCCATCCACATCTACGAATTATGTAAACTACCATCCACATCTACCATATCATAACTACCATCCACATCTAACCATCCTTGTCTAGCTATCACATAATTACACAACCTCAAACTCCCTCTAATACTAACCAACATCATGAATCATCTTTACATGATAATAATTACAATTACCTGACAATGAAGACCATCCTAAATCGGATTGTGTAGTGCTATTGTTAGATATCTTAAAAATAGTAGCATGCCTTTCCTCGTATGAAAGTGTTGTAATGTTGCCGAGAAAAAGACCCATATGTCTAGGCTACCGTCTTTTCTATTTGATTTATTAATCTATTTATTTCAACTAATTAATGACAGATGAAAACACACCGAATAAAGATTAGTTTTATCTCGCTTATTAATAACTTCCCGATATTTTAGTTCCTAAATAGAGTTGAGATTATAATGACATTAAACATGCACGTGATTTTATACAAATCAGATTATTCAAACCTGATACGATAGTGAACGAAGTTGGTTTTTGGTGAATATCTATTAATAGATTTTATACACCTGTGTTTAAAAAGATGAAAATCGGCTCTTAAGGTCGATTAGCGGGCTAAGCTGATCTATCGGTTGATCGGTTTTTTTAAGGGCGTTACCTGTTCAGGTAGTTGAAGATGGCGGCTATGTTGATTGTGTGGCTTGATAAGTAGATTTAAAACGACTTAATTTCAAGGTGCGCGTGATGGCGGTGTGTGTGATGGCGGTGTGTAGGTCACACGTGACTGACTGGTGGTGTGTACGTGACTCAGGGGTTGTGTCATTGGTGGTGTGAATGGTGTGTGTGTGTGTGTGTGGCTTTTAGTGTGTGGGATGTGACAGGTGTGTGGGAGATGTGGTAGGTGCGTGTGAGTGTTATGGTGTGTGGGTGTTAAGGTGTGTGGGTGTTATGGTGTGTGGGTGTTAAGGTGTGTGGGTGTTATGGTGTGTGGGTGTTATGGTGTGTGGGTGTTAAGGTGTGTGGGTGTTATGGTGTGTGGGTGTTATGGTGTGTGGAAAATGTATTAGGTGTGTGTGTGGGTTTTATCGTATGTGGGTGTTATGGTGTGTGGGTGTTATGGTGTGTGGGTGTTATGGTGTGTGGGTGTTATGGTGTGTGGGTGTTATGGTGTGTGGGTGTTATGGTGTGTGGGTGTTATGGTGTGTGGGTGTTATGGTGTGTGGGAAATTTAGCATGTGTGTGTAGGAGATATGACTAGTGTGTGAGAGATGTTTGTGTGGCTGTGGTTGTCACTGCAAGTGTTGTGAGTGTACGCATAGTACACACTGTACAGGCCTACATACTGACACATATTTTGATTGACCCTGATCTTAGCGTCCAGCTAATCAGAGTAAATGACCCTCAACTGTGACCTTGACCTTAACCTCCAACAGACCAGTCGACCTGACCCTCATGGGTCAGTAAACAAACCGGTCACTGCAGGTCAACTCAAGGAATAGGGGCCTATATTTTTGTTTCAGTTTAAAGATACAATATTGTTCTAAATATGTTCTTGAATTATTTATTTGAATTATACATTTAAATCATTCCTTTGGCCTATTTATTTGAATTATGTATTTGATCTATATGTATAATGTGTATATTTGTTCTATTTATTTGTAAATAAAGTTGCTGTTCTATATGTAATGAAGAAAATTTGTAATAATTTAATACGTTGTATTTAAATAAGCTCTATTAGAGTTTCTACCCAATTAAACACAATGAGTGTTTTACTTGTAATCTTTCAATGGAATTTACAGAAGATATAAATAGTAGCATACTAAACTATTGGGTGTCGGACATTTGCTGATGTTTCTCAGGCCTCGGCATATAATAGGATAGTGAGGACAACTTTATGCTCGACCGCTTTCACTGTCTGTAGATGGGTCAGGTACCCATAAGAGCTGGATGGACTCAGGGGTTTGCGCCAGTGATTGAACGCTACTTTCCGACCACTGTGTTGCATTAGAGTAAATGTTAAAAGCAAATAATATTTCTATTAACATGTTTATTCACACACTTTATCTATTACCTTTACAAAATGCAATCATTAAAGGTATCTTCTCACACATACAAAGTAAAGTAAGTGATATGCTCTGACAGCATATTTTGTAAACCTTATACTGGTGATATATTTTCATGTTGTTCACCTTAAATAAACTCACGTCTTCGCTAAATAGTTCACCCAATCGCCCTACTATGTAGCGCCTCGGCCCCATCAATTTGTTTTAACTTTGTCTAAAGTAAAAGGCTAACCTTTGATACATACACGTTATGTCATTCAGAAAAATTAACGAATTTAGTGACACCGCTCCTAACAGATTAACGCAAGTCATTACCTCCTAATATATTTACACCACATAAGTTAGCACCTCCATGTACAATTTTGTAAGTAACTTTCTAAAATTATAAAAACAATTCAGACCAGAGTTTTTTAAACAAATCATTTTTTATAGTTCATCTTTTAGATGTTTTATAAGTTACATTAGTCAATGTTTTAACATTAAGGGCACTATAAAACACACACATACTAAAAGTTTAACATATTTATAACTATAAATTGATTTTGAAATTACACTAGTGTTACCTTGCATATATCCTTATTTATGTCAAAACCAAGTCAATAAAATAAATCCGATTCTTTTAGAGAATTGTTTTTTCGGAGACAGTGTGCCCTTTCATCTAGTCGGCGTTCTGACGATCGTCATTGTGTTAGGTAACTCTGGGTAACTGTGGGTAACTCTAGGTAACTGTGGGTAACTGTGGGTAACTGTAAGTAACTGTAGGTAACTGTAGGTAACTGTGGGTAACTCTAGGGTCGCCTGCAGACAAAGCCGGGCGGGGTGGGAACACAGGTGCCACCCCGGAAGATGGTGCCCTGCCTGCAGGGGATGGGGTAGGCCATGCCGTTGATGCACTGGTAGAAGACGTCACATTTGCTGGGGTGGGGAACGTACTCGAGGTTGGCGGCATGCAGGCACGGGTCGGGCGCTGGGGGGGTAGAACATATTTTAAACGGTCGGGTCTTAAGTTAGTGGCCGTAGGGAGGTTGAACTTTAATACATATGGTGAGGTTTAACATTGGTGGGGGGGGGGGCGGGTTGTTGGAGATGGTGAGGTTTAGTAATGATGGGGGTGTGTGAGGTTTAACATTGGTGGAGATGGTGAGGTTTAACATTGGTGGGGGTTGTGAGGCTTAACATTGGTGGGGGGGGGGTTGTTGGAGGTAGTGAGGTTTAATAATGATTGAGGGGTGTGAGGTTTAACATTGGTGGGGGGGGGGGTGTGAGGTTTAACATTGGTGGGGGGTTGTGAGGTTTAACATTGGTTGAGATGGTGAGGTTTAACATTGTGGTGGGGGGTGGTTAGGTTGACAAGCAGAGAAAAGCTATCGACACTAAGACTGTGTCAAAAGCATTGCAACTCGAGCACAACTTATACAAGAGACAGACAGTGCTAGCTACATTATCCAACAGACGGACTAGTACAACTCCTGCACTATACGAGTGACAGGGCAGTGTAACTCCAGTACAGTGAGAGACAGTAGTGCTAGCTACAATACATTCTGTAACATAATACCATACATACCAGCGTAGCTAAACTTACGTTTGGTGGTTGTGGGGATGGTTGTGGATGTGGTGGTGGTGGTGTCGGCTGTGGTAGTCTCTTGGTCTATGATGGTCCTCTTGGAGAGCACCAGCGATTGGTCGTAGATGAGCATATTGCCGACCTCTAGGGCGTACTTGTCGTTAACAAACACCCTGAGATGTCAGCCAACACAAGCAAGTCAATAGAAGCTTCAACTGTATTTTTGTTTCTTTACACTATGTCATTTACCTTATAATTTTGATATATTCTTTAGTTATATTAGAGAATCATGTTTCAGATTTTAGTCTAATAATACAATTTAAAGTAAGTCAACATTATAACAATGTCAAGGAATAAGAGTTCCGAAAATCTTTTAATTTATACATCTTGAGGAAAGTTAGAAGAATTAGAGTTAGATATTAGCAGCTATGTTCACTTAATTAACGGTTAGGGAAAATGTAAATAACGAAAATATTTCAAGTGCTCACTTCGGTCCATCATCCAACCCCCCCCCCCCCCTTTCCACCCATGCGTGTGTGTGTGTACCTGTTGGCCCGCTCCATGAGAATAATGTTAATCTCCTCCTCTAGACTGGGGGACTGTACGCCTCTGAAAGTCAGCTCAGCGGTGATATTAAAAGGGTTTTGTCTGAAATCAAAAGAAATATTACATGGCTTGTATTAAAGAGATAGCACATAACTACGGCACGTTTCTAAAGTACGATCAAACTAGTTTCATCAAGCTTATCTTCCGATGGCGTTAGCGAGGCTATCATAACATTTTTCAGCCTGACAGAGAGCGTGTTCAGCCTGACAGAGAGCGTGTTCAGCCTGACAGAGAGCGTGTTCAGCCCGACAGAGGGCGTGGTTAACCTGACAGAGGGCGTGTTCAGCCTGACAGAGAGCGTGTTCAGCCCGACAGAGGGCGTGGTTAACCTGACAGAGGGCGTGGTTAACCTGACAGAGAGCGTGTTCAGCCTGACAGAGGGCGTGGTTAACCTGACAGAGGGCGTGGTTAACCTGACAGAGGGCGTGGTTAACCTGACAGAGGGCGTGTTCAGCCTGACAGAGAGCGCCACCCCTACAGCAGGGTGAGTACACCAGGAGAAGCCGATCTATCACGTGTGAGAGCTGTGGCGCGTGTCGAGCTACAGGCAGCAACTTTAGAGTCAGTGACCTTTTCGAACCTGTTGGTCCATGTGGCAAATGAAGTAGATTTTATCTGTTTCTGTGACCTCTGCATAAGAAGGGATAGTGTGGTCAGCATTGTGCCCAACTCCCCTTAACTTCCCTAACATGAGTCAGGTACCCATAACAGCTGGTGGAATCACGAACGTCCTACAGATTTGACCCCGAGATCCGAACTTGAGACTGTCGGAGTAAAAGCCATGTTCTCTAACATCCGACCACACCGTCCTACGCTTGAGAGTCAACCTTAGATTAACTCTACTTCCTCTAGTCCATTTGTTATTAGAACGAACATTGCTTGTAGCATCATAGAAAAAACTCACCCGAATTTGACATTTTCACATTGGATAAAATCTTTCTTCCACTCTACGACCCACCTCGTTACCTGAAACAGAGAGGTTCTTAGGGCATTACACACGGCATAAAACAGTTTAAGTTTGGTGTTTGATTTCAACTAAAACATTGGAATTTTATGTTAGTGCGTTACACACGTCATAAATCATTGAAGGTTTAGTGTTTGATTGTAACTAAAACATTGGGATTTTAGTGTTTGATTGTAACTAAAACGGTGGAATTAGGAATTTTGTGTTAGGGCATTTCAGACATCATAAAACATTATTAGAGTTTTAAGTTTGGTGTTTGATCAAAACTAAATTAACTAATGAGAAAAATTATCAATCGATGCAAGATATTACCACAGTGGGTGTAGGCAGAGTACGTAATTCATTTAAAAAATACAATTGAAAGTAATCAGTTTGTTCTTAATTAAGGTGGAAAACATCTATGAGATTTTATGTGTGAATTATGAAATTATGAAATAACGGTCAAAAATGAATATATTAAAAAATGGCTACATTTAATACTATAATAACACAAACAAAATAATTAAAGGGTTGAAACTGTGGTTGATTTATAAATAAACTGTATAATTCATCATTTGTGTGAGACAGAGACAAAAGAAACCTCGTTAATGGCTTACATCCTGACAGAAGGGCTCAGCCAAAAGGCGGTACCGAGCACTGCTTTGGTTGTCCAGGTCTGCGCTCCAGTCTGGTTCCAAGATTTGCAGGGATACTGTCATCACGGTGTAGAGGACTGGGAACAAAACCAACACGCACCGACTTTTTAGATGTCAAGTAATATACCCAGTCTACATGCTCGTGTAATTAATGTCTCGAGGTAAACAAAAAAATAAAATTTCTCCTTTTCTGTATCGAAAGAAAATAAGTTTACTTTTAATGGATACCAAGTTATGCAAGTGTCCAGCCCAATTGAACCTTGACGTGTAAAAGAGCTCAACTCTACTTTACCTAGATCTGATCACATCGCAGACCAATAGTTTATCTACTTCGAGCCGTCAGTCTCATTAAATATTAAACTCCTGTCATTTGTGGCCTCACCTGTGGGGGTGGTTGTGACGAAGGGGTACGGGTGTGTGGTGAAGCTCTCGAGCTTAAAGAGTTGGTGGGTGGGCTCCGTGTCCACCGCCACATTGACGCCCCCCATGGGCAGGTGGTAGACGCCGTTCAGGTTGACCTGGTCACCATGGTAACGGAAGATGTTCAACATGCTGGAGGGCCGGACGATCTCTGTGTCTCTGAGGGCCACGCGGAACTTGACCTCGCGGTTTGGGCTGTGGAGGGTTAAATATTTGTTGACTCACTAGCGGATATTTTTTCTTTGGCGGTTTGGGTTGTGGAGGGTTAAATATTTGTTGCCTCACTAGCGGATATTTTTTTGGTGGTTTGGGCTGTGGGGGGTTAAACATTTGTTGACTCACTAGCGGATATTTTTTTGGTGGTTTGGGCTGTGGGGGGTTAAACATTTGTTGACTCACTAGCGGATATTTTTTCTTTGGCGGTTTGGGCTGTGGGGGGTTAAATATTTGTTGACTCACTAGCGCATATTTTACAATTTTATCATCATACCGTATAACAGTAACAGTTTAAATCATCGTTAATCGTTCTTCTGTTGATCGTTTTACATTAAAAAGGTCACTTAGTATTTTACCAGCTGAAGTAATTTAGGGACACACAATTTTACTATAGGATAAACTTAGATCATGCTGTAGCTAACATTATTTACAATTTATTTTTTCTCGTGCAACATGAGCTATAAATGATGGCTATATTTCTATAAATATATTTCAACTATGCTTCAAACAGTTCGATATGTACTCAAACCCGTCCATACAAACTTTACAACAAACAGTTCGCTATTTACCCAAACTCATCCACACAACTTCACCACAAAAGTTTCGCTATTTACCCAAACCCGTCCTTACAAACCACACCACAAACGGTTCGCTATTTACCCAAACTCGTCCACACAACTTCACCACAAACAGTTCGCTATTTACCCAAACTCATCCACACAACTTCACCACAAAAGTTTCGCTATTTACCCAAACCCGTCCTTACAAACCTCACCACAAACGGTTCGCTATTTACCCAAACTTGTCCACACAACTTCACCACAAACAGTTCGCTATTTACCCAAACTCGTCCACACAACTTCACCACAAACTTTTCGCTATTTACCCAAACTCGTCCACACAACTTCACCACAAACAGTTCGCTATTTACCCAAACTCGTCCACACAACTTCACCACAAACTTTTCGCTATTTACCCAAACTCGTCCACACAACTTCACCACAAACAGTTCGCCGTTTACCCAAACTCGTCCACACAACTTCACCACAAACGGTTCGCTATTTACCCAAACTTGTCCACACAACTTCACCACAAACAGTTCGCTATTTACCCAAACTCGTCCACACAACTTCACCACAAAAAGTTCGCTATTTACCCAAATTCGTCCACAACACAGCCATAATAGCGTTTCCTCACCGCCCGTAAACCAATGCTCTCAAATGTTTTATCCACCTGGTAAACAAAACAAAGAGGAATTTCAAAACAAAGCTTTAATAAAAGTACAAAGTAAGAAAAACATCAGACATGTTAATCAATGTACACAATGTTTAACATAACCTAAAGTGTATAACTACCAAAACAAACACGTCATCTCTTGTACGTTTAACTTTATCGCATCCACGTTGACAACCGCTATGATAAATTAATCCCACCCCCTCCCCAGTGTAACGCTCCACCCAGGGGTAGGTGGTTGAAGGTTGGCCTACTACCTGGATCCCGGATGCTAAGCTGAAACACCCCCCTCTCCCCCCCCCCCCCCTGCACCTCACGACTGCTAGAATGACCGTCCATTACGAAACAGTCAGCCTTCTCGTACTTTCAACTGTGTATGTAGTCTGTGGAAAATGTAAGACTACACCGATTACACATGACACCGATTACATCGATTACACATGACACTTACATCCTTACAGAACCTGTAAGCCGTCTCTCTGAAAGCACTGGAGTCTTTGTTCAACAAGTCGTCACTAAAGTTGCCGGGGTACAGGTAGAAGGTGTAGTTGTAGCTGACAGCGTCTGGGGAGATGATGATGTAAGACATGACGTAAGGGTTGCTTGTCTGGATTGTATGACTAGACTATATCAATTTAATTGATCTTGATTCTTAAATTAATGATTAGCTCACATTTCGTAACTTTAAATATTGATTTTTAAAAAAACAGTGTTTATGATTCGCAAATTTTTTCTAGCATGGCAATTATTTGTTAGAAAACGTCATATTATGTTGTTAAAATATATGGTGGAAGATTATATTTTAGCTAGGTGTGTGTAAAACGAAACTACCAATTACCGTAGATGCTAGTGTGTGTAAAACGAAACTACCGCCAATTACCGTAGATGCTGGGTGTGGTACGGACGGTAGAAAACTCCACACTGATGCTGGGTGCGTGTAAAACGAAACTACCAATTACCGTAGATGCTGGGTGTGAGGACAGTTAAACTACCGACAATTACTGTAGATGCTAGGTGTGTGTAAAACGAAACAACCAATTACCGTAGATGCTGGGTGTGGTACGGACGGTAGAAAACTCCACACTGATGCTGTCCATCTCGATGAGCAGGTTTCCCACCAGCAGGGCGAAGACGCCGTTGTGCTGTTTCCTGATGGCGTTCTCGATGATCATGCTGACCACCAGGTCTTTGACCTGCTCCCTGTCCACCTGCCCGTCGTCCTGGAACTGCAGGCTGAAGTTGACCCTGTTGGGGTCACCGCTGTGGACACACACACACACACAACCGTCGGGTCAAGGAAACAAAGGCAGGTAACCGGAGCAACTATACCACAGGGGAGGTAAGGACTTACCCGAATAGTTCGATTTGACACGTTTGATATGTTGGGAAATATTGACGATGATCTGTCAGTATCATATCGATCTACAACGGAAACATAGGTTCAATGTAATATATATATATATATATATATATATATATATATATATATATATATATATATATATATATATATATATATATATATATATATAACATGGTATCATAAAGAGATATAATAGAAACATGGAGTCATGGTATCATATTATAGAGATATAACAGAAACATGAAGTTTATGTAGGTCACATAAGGATCTATAATGAAACTAAATAATTCTGTTTTTTATCGATGTAAAAATTATTGTTACTAGAATACCAAATAAAACATCTAAATACACTAATGTTGACTTGATTGGGAGTGCATTGATAACGCCAATATTGTGTCAGTAATGTTAGTAACTTTATTTAACGTCGAATGCAATGATTATAGTTAATCGTGTTAATTAGTAAAATCTGAACGTACGTCTGTACAAAACTTTTCCTGGATGTTCTTGAATTTGGCAGACGATTTGTTGTTCAGATCCTCGGTGAAGGTCAGGTTTAACGTCTCAAACGAGAGCCGGATTAAAAAGTTGGCTGAGGAGAAGAAATAGAAAAATAAACATTAATATCAAACACAAACTGACATATATATATAAATATATATATATATATATATATATATATATATATATATATATATATATATATATATATATATATATATATATAACAAATACTGTTACTTAATTATTATATGAGTTTAACTTTTGTAAGTTTTGTGTTGATTATCATAAAACATGGTATATCATGTCTTCTAGACAATACAGCTACATGCACAAATAAATAAGTTTGATAAAAAAAGTACATTGTACATGTCGTTAGTCACTTTCTGTTTACTTACGTTCAGTTGTCGTTGGTTTTGTTGTTGTGCTAGTTGTTGTAGTTGACGTTGTAGTCGTCTTTGGTGTAGTAGTAGTTGTAGTTGTAGGTGTCGTTGTTGTTGTGGATGTAGTTGTTGATGTAGTAGTAGAAGGTGTTGTTGTGGTAGGTGTTGTGGTGGTTGTAGTAGGTGTTGTTGTGGTAGTAGTTGGTGTTGTGGTTGTAGTAGTAGGTGTTGTAGTGGTGGTAGTTGGTGTTGTGGTGGTTGTAGTAGATTTTGTGGTTGTGGTAGAAGGTGTTGTTGTGGTTGTGGTGGTAGTTGGTGTTGCAGTGGTTGTAGTTGGTGTTGTAGTGGTAGTTGGTGTGGTAGTTGTGGTAGTTGATGTTGTGGTGGTAGTTGGTGTGGTAGTGGTGGTAGTAGTGGTGGTAGTTGGTGTTGTAGTGGTAGTGGTGGTAGTAGGGGTTGTAGATGGTGTTGTGGTGGTTGTAGTAGGTGTTGTAGTTGTTGTGGTGGTAGTTGGTTTTGTGGTGGTGGTAGGCTTCGTGGTGGTAGTTGTTTTCCTAGTCGTTGTCTTTGTTGTGGTAGTTCTTCTGGTGGTGCTGGTGGTTGTAGAAGGTCTGCGAGTTGTACTTGTTGTTGTCCGACTGGTGGTGGTTGGTCTGCTGGTGGTTGTTGCTGTCGGCGTTACTGGTGTAGTAGGGGCTGGCGTTGACGAGATTTCTACTGTTGTTGGTGTTGGTATTATTGTGACCGTGGATCCTGTTAAAGTCACCAAAAAGCCACTACTTTACATTATTATCATACAGGAGATGGTTATAAAACATAACTTTCTTCAAAACATGTAGATAGGATAAGCTGATGAGATTTAATTAACAAATACACGAACAACTTTTTTGGTTGTTACCAGCGTCTTGTCTTGACGATTTTACTATGGCAAGTATCTTAAAAGTATGTAGTCATCCAATTATCTGTTAGGTCGATGACATGGTAGGTCACTCACCTGTTTGTGAGGTCACTTACCTGTTCGTGAGGTCTCTCACCTGTTCGTGAGGTCTCTCACCTGTTCGTGAGGTCACTAACCTGTTCGTGTGGTCTCTCACCTTTGATGTTACTCAACTGTTCGTGAGGTCACTGACCTCTGTTAGGTCATTCACCTGTTAGGTCACTCAACTCACCTGTCTGTGAGTCATCAATGATGAGGTAAAGGTCCCCAACACTCAGAGTGAGGTAACCAGACTTGACCACACGTTCAGGTTTCTGGAACATTCGTCTGGACAATTAGACCACTGAGAGCTAAAACCTTTAAATCAGGACAATTAGACCACTGGGAACTAAAACTTTTTAGTCTGGACAATTAGACCACTGAGAGCTAAAACCTTTAAATCAGGACAATTAGACCACTGGGAACTAAAACTTTTTAGTCTGGACAATTAGACCACTGAGAGCTAAAACCTTTAAATCAGGACAATTAGACCACTGGGAACTAAAACTTTTTAGTCTGGACAATTAGACCACTGAGAGCTAAAACTTTTTAGTCTGGACAATTAGACCACTGAGAACTAGAATATTTGTCTGGACAATTAGACCACTGAGAGCTAAAACTTTTTAGTCTGGACAATTAGACCACTGTGAACTGAAATTTTTTAGTCTGGACAATTAGACCACTGAGAACTAAAACTTTTTAGTCTGGACAATTAGACCACTGATAATGGAAACTTTTTAGTCTGGACAATTAGACCACTGAGAACTAAAACTTTTTAGTCTGGACAATTAGACCACTGAGAATGGAAATTTTTTAGTCTGGACAATTAGACCACTGAGAGCTAAAACTTTTTAGTCTGGACAATTAGACCACTGAGAGCTAAAACTTTTTAGTCTGGACAATTATACCACTGAGAACTAGAATATTTGTCTGGACAATTAGACCACTGAGAGCTAAAACTTTTTAGTCTGGACAATTAGACCACTGAGAACTGAAACTTTTTAGTCTGGACAATTAGACCACTGAGAACTAGAATATTTGTCTGGACAATTAGACCACTGAGAGCTAAAACTTTTTAGTCTGGACAATTAGACCACTGTGAACTGAAATTTTTTAGTCTGGACAATTAGACCACTGAGAACTAAAACTTTTTAGTCTGGACAATTAGACCACTGATAATGGAAACTTTTTAGTCTGGACAATTAGACCACTGAGAATGGAAATTTTTTAGTCTGGACAATTAGACCACTGAGAACTAAAACTTTTTAGTCTGGACAATTAGACCACTGAGAATGGAAACTTTTTAGTCTGGACAATTAGACCACTGAGAGCTAAAACTTTTTAGTCTGGACAGTTAGACCACTGAGAACTGGAACATTTGTCTGGACAATTAGACCACTGAGAAGTGAAGCTTTCTACACTTACTGTTTTAAGCATGTTTTAAATCCTGCTATTTTTTAAACTGCTATCAGCAAACAGAAAAACCCACCATAAATGTAAAACCTACCTGGAAAAGAAAAACCCACCTGAAAGAGAAAACCCACCAAAATCTAAAACCCACCTGAAAGAGAAAACCCACCATAAATCTAAAACCCACCTGTAAGAGAAAATCACAAAAAATCTAAAACCCACCTGTAAGAGAAAACCACCATAAATTTTAAACCCACCTGTAAGAGAAAATCCACCATAAATCTAAAACCCACCTGTAAGTGAAAACCCACCATAAATTTTAAACCCACCTGGAAGAGAAAAACCCACCATAAATTTTAAACCCACCTGTTACAGAAAACCCACCATAAATCTAAAACCCACCTGTAAGAGAAAACCACCATAAATTTTAAACCCACCTGTAAGAGAACAACCCACCATAAATTTTAAACCCACTTGTAAGAGAAAACCCACCATAAATCTAAAACCCACCTGTAAGAGAAAACCACCATAAATTTTAAACCCACCTGGAAGAGAAAAACCCACCATAAATCTAAAACCCACCTGTAAGTGAAAACCCACCAAAAATCCAAAACCCACCTGGAAGAGAAAAACCCACCATAAATCTAAAACCCACCTGGAAGAGAATGTAGACAGCCTCATCATGTATCTCCGGGAACATGGGAGTGTTGAAGGTAAATTTGAAGGCAACTTTTTCAGGGTAGTCGTCGTTAGCTCTCTGCCTGAAATCACAAGATGCTTCAATAAAAACGGAGGGTAACATTAGTTTTTAAAGTTCTTTAATTTGTTGCTGGTTCTTTATGGATTTTAACTGGTAAATTATATACAGCTTTAAAGTTTGAACCGGTGATCAAATGATCATCAAACATATGAACGTACGTGAAACTGTCGATTGCACAGGATTGATACACATGCTTCAGCAGACTAGTAGAATAGTATCTGTCCATCTGAGGAGACAACAAAGTATGTTAATCAAATGTATGTTTAGTGCAGTAGCTGCTATCTTGTTGAAGTGTATTCATGATATAGCAACATTATGTTCGTTTTTCTATTTGAAGTTACTGCGTTTTTCATATAGGCCTATGATATTTGCACACGAAAATCTGTTATAAAACTGAGGCAGCTTTAAATCTCAATAACTTGTGTATCCTATGAAACTGAGACTCACAACTTTACAGAAACGATCTTCGAGAAACTTAAAGCGAGCTGAATTTTTATTGGCCAATTCTGGGGTGTAGAAGAAATCAGCCAATCCGAATTCATAAGACAAAACTGTGACGTACGCTGTTGAGGATATAAAAAAATTAAGTATGATTTCATTTCTATAGCTACTTTTAATATAAAAATAACATAACAATGATTTTAAGTATTTAACAAAGCAATGTATGAACACTAATCTTGTCCCCTCAATCGTCTAGTCTACTTCAATCTCAATCTTGCAATCCCAATCATCTTTCCCAATCAGTATGCCCCAATCATTATACCCCTTGACGTCAGTCTGATGACCTAGAACGTAATGTTGACGTCATCTCTGACCCTGACTTACACGGGACGGTGCTTGATGACGTCGGCGTTGACGTAGATGTTGGAACTGTACTGGTCGCCTCCATGGAAAATGACGTCGTTAATATGTCAGATGTCATTGTGGGCGTGGCCAAGGTCTTGGAAGGTAGGATGGTCGTTGTCACTTCAATGCGATACCTGAAAATTTACCTGACAGTAATCAAACGTGTCAGTGACAGTACCCTACAGTCGGCGACATGGCATCAACCACATGTCAACGACATCACACTACTTACCTGTAAATGTCAATACGTCAACCCATTCACATTTCACTGACACGACATCACCCACCTGTCAGTAACATCACCCACCTGTCAGTGACACATCATCACCCACCTGTCAGTGACATCACCCACCTGACAGTGACATTATATCACCCACCTGTCAGTGACTTCACCCACCTGTCACTGACACGATATCACCCACCTGTCAGTGACATCACCCACCTGACAGTGACATTATATCACCCACATATCAGTGACACGACATCACCCACCTGTCAGTGACATGACATCACCCACCTGTCAGTGACATCACCCACATATCAGTGACACGACATCACCCACCTGTCAGTGACATGACATCACCCACCTGTCAGTGACATCACCCACCTGTCAGTGACATCACCCACCTGTCAGTGACATCACCCACATATCAGTGACACGACATCACCCACCTGTCAGTGACACGACATAACACACCTGTCAGTGACATCACCCACCTGTCAGTGACATCGCCCACCTGACAGTGACATTATATCACCCACCTGTCAGTGATATCACCCACCTGTCACTGACACGCCATCACCCACCTGTCAATGACACGTCATCACCCACCTGTCAGTGACAAGACATCACCCACGTGTCATTGACAGGACATCACCCACCTCACCTGTCAGTGACACGACATCACCCACCTGTCAGTGACACAACATCACCCACCTGTCAGTGACATCACCCACATATCAGTGACACGACATCACCCACCTGTCAGTGACATGACATCTCCCACCTGTAAGTGACATCACCCACATATCAGTGACACGACATCACCCACCTGTCAGTGACATTACATCATCCACCTGTCAGTGACATCACCAACCTGTCACTGACACGACATCACCCACGTGTCATTGACAGGACATCACCCACCTCACCAGTCAGTGACACGACATCACCCACCTGTCAGTGACATCACCCACCTGACAGTGACACGACATAACCTACCTGTCCATAATGAGAAAGAGATGACCAACGTCCATGAGATTGAGGCCTGGTGCCAGAGATTTCGGTGCCTTGTACTCCAGGTAGGTTCTCACCTGTCTGGAGAAGTCGTCGTGTAGTCTGGTCTCAAACAGGAGGTTAAAGGTCACGCCCGTGGGTGTGGGGCTGAAACAATATTCCAAATGTTTTATTATGTAACTTTGTATTGCTATCACAGAATGAAGCGAGTAATAATAAGAAATAATAGTAAAGTTACTTAAATGACGTGACGTCACATCCTCTGTAAATGACGTGGAAGGGGCTGTCTAGACTCATATACCACCGCCATAACTGAAATTACCACGTTCAAAAATACACAGATAAGCTACAACATTATATAGCAAATAGTGGACAAAAAGTAAAGCACAAGATTAATATTGTAAAAAAGTAACATACTCAATTGTAAAACAAGTAGTATGCTCGATTTCGAAATACAAGTAGGGCCTACATTGTATATTCCCATCTTAAACAACATGCGTATATGAGAGTGCGTATTAAAAAAAAAATCCAAATGCTAGGGGAAGCAACCCAGTATTAATTTTTCAGTTCTTAATACGGAGTCATTTTACTGATTATTTCCCTTGAACATTGCAAAGCAAACATTAAACCTTTATATGATACGAACCGACCCGCGGCGTATCATACGCCGCTATTTAGTTGTTTTATTTTCTACTTTTCAGTAATCCATAATTTGTGAATTCAACAGTACCAATGCTGCCACTGAAAATATTTGCTTTAAAACACTAACCCCCCCCCCTTTAACCTAACCCCGACCCTACACCCCCCCCCCCCTTGAAAGCAGCCTCCTTAGTTACCTCCTGTAAGTTTAACATCGTTTCAAACTAAATTATCTGCCCCTAATAGCCGTCACTAAACCCGGCTCTACGATTTGTAAACATTTAGCGTGACCACAACTCACCAGACCATGTAGGGGTGAGGTGGGGGTGGTAGTGATAGTGATAGAGAGAAAGAGAGGGGACTGTAAGGAGGCGCTTGCAGCTTGTTTTCTAACGTCTCCCAGATGAGAATTATATATATAGATGGTGAATGTGTTTGATGTTTAAAGTTTTTTCTTTTTTTTTAACTTTTATTAGATCTTGACTCAATTCACAATGTTCTAGAACTTACATCATCACAGACTGCCACTTTGTGTGTTTTGAAATCTTTCGAGTTGGGGTCCAATAACTTCTCTGTGAATGTCAGGTTATAGACTTCATAGTAGAGGATCAGCATGACGCCATCTGTGTAACGGGAGGTAGGTGGGGGTGGGGGGTCATTTAGTTTGTCACGATTGTGTGACAGTGTGTGTGACGTATGTGTGTGACGGTGTGTGTAATGTTTGTGTGTGACAGTGTGTGACACTTGTGTGACGGTGTGTGTGTGTGTGTGGCGTATGTGTGTGATGTTTGACTGTGACTGTGTGTGTGGAGGTGTGTGTGACCGTTTGCGTGATGTACTTGTGATAGGGTATATGAGGTCTTATGCGGCTTTTGTTTTACGGCGTTGTATGAGGTATCTTGACGTCGTTATGTGATGTTAGATGGGACCACACCATCCCTTCAAATGGAAAGATTCGAACTCTACTTCACCTACCATATTGACCGTTAGAACCAAAGGAAATGAGATGTTTGAAGTATGAAGTTGCTGCATGTCGCAGTGGCTTTATGATTTGTTTATCCACCTGTGTTATATTATGTGGAGGTTTTTTTGCTTTTATGTCCTATCTTAAGTAAGTGTGAAGTCATTATCAGTCTATATGTGAATAATAAATGTTCTAATTAGTTTATGTACATCCACTACACGACCCGTGTGGTGTGGTAAATGCACAAACGACCACAAACTGGTGTTACACAACACTACGACACCAAAACATTACCGCTAACAACCAATTATACCACCCACATACCAGTGTCAGTACATCCCCCCCCCCCCAGTCCGCCATTACCCCACCCACACACATCTCAGAAATTGGAACAAATTAGACACAAGAGGAATAGCGGCTCCGGTATCAGGGACGATAATTAGTCTTAAAACCTTGACAGAGACTAATGTGGGTTGGTGACGTACAGTCTGTTACAACAGCTGATGTTGTGTGTGGGACGTCCACAGAGGATGTGGAGGTGTGGAGAGTGCTGGTGGGTACCACGCTGATGTTGGTGGGGTAGACTTCCGGCACCTGCTCCGGCAGCACCAGGAGGTCGCCCACCAGGTAACTCAGGTGGTCCAGGTGGTAGATGGGCGGGGCTTGGGTCCGGATGACCTGAGTCATAGAGTCTGCCAACCCGTCCAGCGCGGTGTCGTAGAACACAATGTAGAAGTGGACGCGCACTGGATCAGCGCTGGAACAGATACACGAGTAGCAATCACTTTAAAATCGTAAATCAATCAATACTTTTGAAATGGTAAATAAATCATTAATTTTATAAACGTAAATTAATCAATCATTAAACTTAATAATTTGTCACTTTTTAAATATCATCTTGATACAAATAAAACTCTTTTCCTACTATCAAAATGCGTTAAATAAAAGCTGTTTGAATGTTGTGTAAAATATTTGTTATAGGGCATTAATTAGTTTCAATAGATTGAGCTTACGTGAACTGATCAACGCCACATTTGAAGAATCGATCACGGTAGATACTCTTCATGTAGAACTTCTGCATCTGATGAGAGATAAACTTTTTGGTCAGCTGACATCTTAGACAAGATTTGATGTTACTGGTGTAAACTAAAGGTCTGATTAACTTGGTTTCTATACATCCGTGTTGTGTTGTGTGTTGTAAGTTAACACAGCAAGATTTGATGTTTACTGGTGTAAACTAAAGGTCTGATCAACTTAGTCTCTATATATCCGTGTTGTGTTGTGTGTTGTAAGTTAACACAGCAAGATTTAAATTTAGCTAAAGATCAATCATAACCCGAAACATAAAGTACACATGCGGACAGAAAACAAAGTATAAAGTATGCTGATACATCCTACAATAAATGTATATTACACTTGTGTTCGTCCTACACATCTTGTGCACATTTTATACACCTTTTACATAATTTTCTCTCGCGCTATGTACATATTGCGTACAAAGCAAGTATACACCATATTATGCTCAGCTAATACACATTACATCACAGCAAATACACCATATATTGAGTATGTACATACGGTATAAACACAATATAAACACCACATACACACTACGTTAACACCACATATATATCAACTACACACCGTATACACACCACATAGACAGCACACACATCAAGTACACGCGAATCAACGATCTATACCTACATCATGACAAAACAGAATGGAGTGGTACTGGAACACAGGTGTCCTCTGGTCAGCCAGCTCTGGTGTGTAGGTCAGATTCAACACACGGACATTCGTCCTGAACTCAAGGCCATTAGCTGGGGAGGTCAGCAAGGACATGGTATACATTTATAGACGCCACTTGATTAAACTGATTTAGATTAGTTACTCACAAAACCAAATCACTCTGGTCCATAAGGGTTATATAGATTACATGGTGTAAATATATTGCATGCATTATCACAACCAGAAACACTGTAGATAACATAGGTGGTGTCAATACATATAGTTTTAAAGAAATCACACACGAAACTGTTATGTATGATAACTATTTGCATTAACAAATGTCGAGGTACTAAAAAGAGAATTAGGATAATGAGAATACAAAGGTGTGTTATGGTGATTGTAGGAAAAAAAGTCACAGGAAAAAAAAAACACAGGAAAAAAAAACACAGAAAAAAAGTCACAGGAAAAAAAGTCACAGGAAAAAAAGTCACAGGAAAAAAAGTCACAAATATATATTTGCATGATATTTGATAATACTTTTATGTATTAAATATTTAGAGAGTGCAAATTAACCTAGGGTTAATTAAATATAATGTAATGTGTGTAGGCTGTGTATGCATAGGAATTTTTATAATTCATCCAAAAATATTTATTATGAAGTATGTAGATTGTAATTATGTTAAACTTAAGATTAGTAGCGTATAATAGAATGCTCTAAAGTCCACGGTTTTCATCGTGTTTTTTTTTAAATACCAATATTAAATTACCGTGAAATGGTAAGTTCATCTGACTTGCTGCCCTCAACTCATGGCAACAATAGTTATATTTAGTTCAACCACCTTTACTGCCCATATTTATCACGCTCATTACATAACAAAACTTAGGATCAAAACAGAAAGCCGACAAGGTTCAAAGGCTGTCATTGACGCGTAACGTCAGCAACACAAAATATGTTCGGACAATGCCTACTGAGGAGAGGCCGACCAGAGAATAGCCTACGGCAAAATTTACCTAAATTTCTTTTATAATTAACTTTTCTACCGCGTATTTAACTAAATACATAACAAAAGTTGAGATTGTTGTGTAAATTATCTTAGAGTATTTTTACTTACAATAGTTATATATCATAATGCTTTTAACGTCTATAAATAATTTATGCTATCAAAAAATACAACCCACAACAATAAACATACAAAATTTTACCATTCTTAACAAATTAATAAAAATATTTCAAAAAAGATTTTTGTGACTTTTTTTTCTGTGACTTTATTTCTGTGACTTTTTTTCCGATAAAATTTTTCCACTGTGACTTTTTTTCTGTGACTTTTTTTCCTAGCAAAAACTGTGACTTTTTTTCTGTGTTTTTTTTTTCCTGTGACTTTTTTTCCGTTTACCGTTATGGTCGGGGGATCACCTTAATACAGGTGTGTTGTGAACTTACCTTAATACAGGTGTGTTGCGATTGGGAACTTACCTTGATACAGGTGTGTTGCGATTGGGAACTTACCTTGATACAGGTGTGTTGTGAACTCACCTTGATACAGGTGTGTTGTGAACTTACTTTGATACAGGTGTGTTGTGGTAGGGAAATTAGCTTGATACAGGTGTGTTGTGAACTTACCTTGATACAGGTGTGTTGTGAACTCACCTTGATACAGGTGTGTTGTGGTAGGGAACTCACCTTGATACAGATGTGTTGTGGTGGGAACTTACCTTGATACAGGTGTGTTGTGAACTCAGCTTGATACAGGTGTGTTGTGAACTTACCTTGATACAGGTGTGTTGTGAACTCACCTTGATACAGGTGTGTTGTGAACTTACCTTGATACAGGTGTATTGTGGTGGGAACTTACCTTGATACAGGTTTAATGTGGTATGCAACTCACCTAGATACAGGTGTGTTGTGAACTCACCTTGATACAGGTGTGTTGTGAACTCACCTTGATACAGGTGTGTTGTGAACGCACCTTGATACAGGTGTGTTGTGGTAGGGAACGCACCTTGATACAGGTGTGTTGTGAACGCACCTTGATACAGGTGTGTTGTGAACGCACCTTGATACAGGTGTGTTGTGAACTTACCTTGATACAGGTGTGTTGTGAACTTACCTTGATACAGATGTGTTGTGGTGGGAACTTACCTTGATACAGGTGTGTTGTGAACTCACCTTGATACAGGTGTGTTGTGAACTTACCTTGATACAGGTGTGTTGTGAACTTACCTTGATACAGGTGTGTTGTGAACTCACCTTGCACTTCCCCAAGCTTGAGGTAGATGGAGCCCACCAAGAAGATTTCATGCAGACCGATGTAGAAGCGAGGGGCGTGTTTCCTGATGACCCACTCGATACTGCCCACCATGCCTGGCCACTCCCCACCCTGATAGCCGACACTGACCACAACGGCAGGGGGGTAGGGCCTGAAATCAAAGGGAGTAAGATTTAATTATTTTAATTTAATTGAAACTATTGCCTTGATTTACAATCTAAATACCATTATCTTTACCCTTGTAAGATTACTTCATTATCAGGCAAACTTTACGGGACATTATTAAAATACATGATCATCGTACATCGAAACAGGAATACATTAAAGCGTAGTTATTGGACTTCACTGAAATCATAGTGCGTTTAACAAAACAGCTTTCGTTGAAATGTGTTTGTTATGCTCATTCCTTACTGATAGCAGCCAATGAATCACACAAACAGCAGAAAACAGCATTAAACTACACAATACAGCAAGACTTACCTGAATAAATGGACCTTACAGTTGTAGAAATATTTGATGTAGGGACTTCTGTGGTATAATCTCTCAAGCTACAGACAGAGAACATGTGTCAAAATATGCGCGTGTTTGTTGTGTTGAGACGTGGATTTCAACACATTGCTAGATGTAGTTTTATGACTGTCTTGGTATCTTGACTTAGACCAGAGCTTTATGACTGTCTATCTTGACTTAGACCAGAGCTTTATGACTGTCTATCTTGACTTAGACCAGAGCTTTATGACTGTCTATCTTGACTTAGACCAGAGATTTATGACTGTCTATCTTGACTTAGACCAGAGCTTTATGACTGTCTATCTTGACTTAGACCAGAGCTTTATGACTGTCTATCTTGACTTAGAGCTTGACAACCCTGGGGTCTGGGCTTTACATGTGATACAAAAAGTTTGCCTCTGCCCCCCCCCCCACCCCCCCCCCCCCCCCCCCATCCTTGTGTTAGGGGTTCAGTGATGTGGAACAGTTAGTAGACTAGGTCAATGTGAGCAGGAAAAGATGTCGAATGTTAGAAAAAATCATTCTTTTGGCGAACGGTACAATTTTTCTATTGGAGTTGGGCGGATGAGGTGGGGATGTTTATGGTAGTTTCTTAATTAAGCTTCTACCGACTTAATTACCTTAAGATAACATGGGTCAGTATCAACATGTTTTGGTACTATTCATATATTTGCCCATTTATGTTTTTGTTTTTACAAAACATTGTTAAAATAACCCACAAGAACCAAAATTAAAATTGTAATACAATACTTTTCTTTCAGTTCGAAAGAAATTAGTAATTTAAAATTTATGAATTAAAAGGTTATTAGGACTTTTCTATTAGATTTTTTTTATATAGTGATAAAATGATTTTTAAATGTTTTGATTACTTTTTTTTTCTGTATTTTTAAATATTTTGTAGGTTGTGTTACTGAGAAATGTAATTTTATGAAGGTGAAGTACTTAACGAAATTTAACATCCAAAGTACAACCAATTCCAACTATACTAGAGCACTACATTGTATTTAAACGTTTTAAACAATGAAGAATTATGGCGGCTGTCTCGCGATATGTTACAGCTACTGGTGATGGCGTGCTCGTTGTATAAGTTCATGCTACAACAACAGCTATCGATTGGTGGAGGTTAGAACTAATTCTGATCATAAAAATAATTTTGTTTTTTTGGGTGACTTACATCCTTGCAGAACTTGGCCGAGAGTTGCTGGAACTGGGGCGAGGTGTGGTCCTGGAGGTCAGGGGTGAAGGTCAGGTTGTAGGTTGGCAAGATGGCGTAGATGTAGGTCAGGTCAGCTGAAAATAGCACGTGAGGTTCTTCAGTCGATTTAACAGTGGTCGGTCAGTCGACGACCGTGTACTTTGGTCGGTCAGTCGATGACCGTGTACTATGGTCGGACAGTCGACGACCGTGTACTATGGTCGGACAGTCGACGACCGTGTACTATGGTCGAACAGTCGACGACCGTGTACTATGGTCGAACAGTCGATGACCGTGTACTATGGTCGGTCAGTCGACGACCGTGTACTATGGTCGAACAGTCGACGACCGTGTACTATGGTCGAACAGTCGACGACCGTGTACTATGGTCGGACAGTCGACGACCGTGTACTATGGTCGAACAGTCGACGACCGTGTACTATGGTCGAACAGTCGACGACCGTGTACTATGGTCGAACAGTCGACGACCGTGTACTATGGTCGAACAGTCGACGACCGTGTACTATGGTCGAACAGTCGATGACCGTGTACTATGGTCGGTCAGTCGACGACCGTGTACTTTGGTCGGTCAGTCGATGACCGTGTACTTTGGTCGGTCAGTCGATGACCGTGTACTATGGTCGGTCAGTCGACGACTGTGTACTATGGTCGGTCAGTCGACGACTGTGTACTATGGTCGGTCAGTCGACGACTGTGTACTATGGTCGGTCAGTCGATGACTGTGTACTATGGTCGGTCAGTCGACGACTGTGTACTATGGTCGGTCAGTCGACGACTGTGTACTATGGTCGGTCAGTCGACGACTGTGTACTATGGTCGGTCAGTCGACGACTGTGTACTATGGTCGGTCAGTCGATGACCGTGTACTATGGTCGGTCAGTCGACGATTCTGTACAACCGTCGGACAGGCTATCACATCTACCCACAACATTCACGTGGTACAGTTGACCACAACACTCACGTGGTACAGTTGACCACATCTACCCACAACACTCACGTGGTACAGTTGACCACAACACTCACGTGGTACAGTTGACATCAACACTCACGTGGTACAGTTGACCACTACACTCACGTGGTACAGTTGACCACATCTACCCACAACACTCACGTGGTACAGTTGACCACATCTACCCACAACACTCACGTGGTACAGTTGACCACATCTACCCACAACACTCACGTGGTACAGTTGACCACATCTACCCCTAAACTCACGTGGTACAGTTGACCACATCTACCCACAACACTCACGTGGTACAGTTGACCACATCTACCCACAACACTCACGTGGTACAGTTAACCACAACACTCACGTGGTACAGTTGACCACAACACTCCCGTGGTACAGTTGACCACATCTACCCACAACACTCACGTGGTACAGTTGACCACAACACTCACGTGGTACAGTTGACCACAACACTTACGTGGTACAGTTGACCACATCTACCCACAACACTCACGTGGTACAGTTGACCACAACACTCACGTGGTACAGTTGACCACGTCTACCCACAACACTCACGTGGTACAGTTGACCACGTCTACCCACAACACTCACGTGGTACAGTAGTCGGCCTGATGCTGGTGGTCCGTGCTGTTGTTGATGATGTGGTCCTGGTGATGTTGACTGGCTCGATGGTCAACTTGACATTGTAGGGGGTGATGACTAGTGGTCCGATCATCTTGACCGACTGCCAACAAACGGTTAAACTGTTAAACATTCGGGTAAAACATTAAACAAACGGCTAAACGGTTAAACATTCGGGTAAACCTGTTTAACACCTGCTACATTAAACACAGATACAATGTTAAAACTGTAGGTAAACCTTCATAAATCTTCTGCAGTCTAGTGGGTAGGTTTATTTTGATAAACTGTTAAACATTCAGGTAAAACATTAAACAAACGGCTAAACGGTTAAACATTCGGGTAAACCTGTTTAACACCTGCTACATTAAACACAGATACAATGTTAAAACTGTAGGTAAACCTTCATAAACCTTCTGCAGTCTAGTGGGTAGGTTTATTTTGATAAAGTGGTATACCAATAAACAAGAACGTGGTTACTATAAGGGGCTCCTACATGGCCAGTTTGTAACTCTTTAAGATGTTATTTAAAGACGGTTTTAACAAACACCTGGCCAGTGAGGCTACATCATCGGTAAGGTAAGTCAATACTCAACCAGTTACTGCCGGTAAATACTTGTACGGTAACTCTACTGAAAGACGTTTGTGCAACTAACTTCTAGTGTGGTACCTCTACTGAAAGACCTATTAGTGCCACTAATGTCAAGTATGGTAACGTTACATGACTATTATGTGAGATATCAATCGGATGTATCAAGTAATGTCATCACTGAAAATGCCATGTTCTGATTATTTTTCCTAATCAACATTATTTTTTCTAACAGTTAATTAAGGAGTTTCATATCTACCAACACTTCACTTTCTTGTAATGTCACTTTTAAAAATGTAAATGTTTGACAACACTGTGAGCAGTATCACAAATATGTAGTTTAACGAGACTCCTACATTCAATGCCTGGGATATTGAACCCAATGTTATCAATGGCAACATGATCATGTATGACATCATTTCGCTGACTGACATATGATATCAGCCTGATGACAATGTCCCACCTGAAAATTAAACGTGGCATTTCTGGCACCGAGCAGTAGCAGGTAGAGCATCGATTGCTGGACGTCTCTCCACTCCGTCCCCACCAGCAGCACGTAAAATGAGACGGTGTCTGGCTTTGGTCTGGGGACACAGAAGATACAATCTCATCGCAAGAAAATAATTGCCTGGTTAATTTGTATTTTTTTTTCGGGGGGGGGGGGGTTGTGACCCATAGGACGCATATATGAACCCTTGTACAATATAAAACTAGTTTACTGTTGACGATAAGCGACTAAAATTACTGGAGGTTATACTGGGGTGACTCTAGGTAAGGAAGATGACGGAAGAAAAAAACTTTAAAATACAAAGCCTTTACAATGCTCTAATTAATGAAGATAGACTTTTTTTTTAGTAGTCACACCATGCAGTGCTTTTTGGTGCATCTCTGTGTCTTATTATAAGATAGACGAAAGTTATTTTTATCGATAATAATTATAAATACAAGCGTTGATCAATTTAGATACATTTTAATGTATCCAAACATTTTCTTACAATTATGGTTAAGTGAATATGCTTTTTTTTTTTACATTTTTTGTTAGTGCGATTAATCGATTTTAGAAAATAGGTTAAATGTTTTTTTTTTACTTTTTATTATTTAGATATTGTACATGTAGCTTATAAGTCGATACTTAAGATTTAAAAATAATTAGTTAAAAACTTAGTGTCCATTCTTTCGTATCTGATTATTCTTGAGTCGACAGCTACACTAAATAAAGCAAGTTTCCTTTACACCAAACGGACTTCCTCCCGTTAATAAAACTAATATTCCCTAACAAACCCATCGACACGAGACTATATCTATTATCTGTCCCTATTATCTTGCCTGGCCTGAAAATATTTGCTTACATTTGTTGTAATCCCGAACTGACTTACTACATATACACAACAATGTCTTGTTCTCTCCCCTGTTCTTATGGTCTATGAAGATCTTTAAATTAATTTTTGTGACATCTAATTATTTTTTAAAAATCAGATATTTTTGCATTGTCATCAGAAATGAATTTCTCTGGAAGTTTAAAAGAGGCATCATGCTGAGACATCAGTGCCATATGACTTAGACTAAGCAAAACTTGTAATAATGATTGAAATGACTGGAGAAATGATTGAGATGACTTAAAAATGATTGAGGTGACTTGACGAATGACTGATGTGACGAAGTTGTGCTCAACGTACGAGACATTCCGATGTAAACGCCTTTAAAATTTCACGCCTCAAACACAGAAGAGCGTGAATTAAGACACAATACGAGAATACTTAGACACACTCATCAGCTTTCACACTCACCTCCAACCCCCACCCTCGCACCCCCACCCTCTTACCCCTGCCTTACCCTCTCATCCCCACACATACCTTTTGATCTAACCACACACACAGGACAATGTCTGTAAGTCCACTCATGTCTGACGACCGTACTTACCTAAACTCTCTGACCTGACAGCTGTAGAACCGGTCAGCGAACACGCTAATGCTCCTGTTGGTTAGGATAGATCCGATCTGTTGGATGAGCGGGGGGAGGATGTCATGTTTGTTACGATAGTTGTTAGCTATTCTCACAGTCTCCACTGTGTTGTATGTATGTGTTTCACTTTGAGTTATACATGTGTTTTAAGTAATTGTTGGTGGCATTGGTGTGAGAAGTAGATGCAGGTGTGGATGATGTTGTACCTACGTGGTAACTTAATCAGTTCCGGCAAAACCTGGTGGGAATAATCGGGGGCTGTTGTCGTTCTTACACTCTAACGTGTGCTGTATGGCCTACTTACGTCAGACGTGAGTTGTGCGACATACGTCAGACGTGTGTTGGGTGACATACTTACGTCATAATGTACTTAAAAAATTCTCTTTTCCAGCCTGACAGTCTATGGGGTATTGGGTAAATGAAGTAGAGTTCACCTGTTTCTGTAACCTCGGTGTATGTAGGCATAGTGTGGTCAGCACTATGCCCGGTCGCCTTTAGTTTCCTTAACGTGAGTCAGATATCCCATCAGGGCTGGGTGGACTCCATAACATTCTACTAGCTTGAACCCGGATTCGAACTCGAAACTTTCTGGTTAGCAGTCTAACGCTCTACGGCTATGGCCACGCCGTCCCAATATACTTACGTCAGAACAAAAGGGCAGTGCCAGATTCCGGAAGTAGTGAGAAAACTTGTCGGCCAAGCTGTAGGTGTAGTTGAGGTTAAACACAGGAAACTGTAGAGACACGCCCACTCCATCTGAGGGGTCATTTGAAAGATGTATATACATAGTGTGTTTGTGTGTGTGTTTGTGTGTGTGTGCCTGTATGTGTTTGTTTGTTTGTGTGCCTGTGTGTGTGTTTGTGAGTGTGTCTGTGTGTGTTTGTGTGTGTGTTTGCGTACTTGAGTGTGTGTGTGTGTGCGCGCGAGCGTCTATGTATGTGCTTGTATATGTGCGTATGCATAGGTATTAAACCTAATATAAAATAAGAAAGTATAAAGAGTGCATGTCGATATAAATCTTACCAAAATTCTGACCCCAGTTGGCCCTGATGTCCACCAAAAAGTCCTTAATGACCAGATACTTCATGGAACCGATGTAATGCTTGGTGGCTCCTCTCTCCACGATGTAGTTCAAGGTCGCAGTCATAAGGTCACGGTCATGTGTGCCGTTGAATCTCAGCTTTAAATTGACCAGCAGACTCCCATCCCTGTTAAATACATCATATCGTAACACTCGAAACGTTACCAGACGATAATCTAAGCAAACTTGTAGGCCTAGCCTCAACAGTACGCTGCAGGTTATATTCACTTTACAGTCAGTACATATTTTCTGGCAGTGAGATCGGGTTGAAGAATTTAATGATAGTTACGATTACCACAGACGATTCTACAATAGGTCGTCTTCAGCAAACACGGTCGTAAAAACAATTTTGAATTATACTCAAAATGTGGGGGGGGGGGGGGGGGGCGGATCGCACCGGGTGACACAAGGCAAAAAATAGCAAAATATATAGAGAAAAATTTGAAGGGTGGGGGGTTTAATTCGAAAGTTTGAGGAGAAGGGGTTGCGAATCGAAAATTTGAAAGTTTGTCCCCGGGAAGGGTCGCTACGCATCGTGGGGGGTGACACCATTAAGTGCCGCACCGGGTGACACCAGACCTCGCTACGCCACTGACTCCATTTCACACGTTAGGATAGATACAATTGGCTAGTGAGTTTATCAATAGCTTATCCTCTTATTGGTGTATTGCAGCTTTTTCCTTAGATCATTTGCTGTATGTGAAAGACGAGTGAACAATATATATGTGCTGTTTTAGTGGACTTCAGCAGTAGAAGGTAGACTTGATGGATGTATGGTTTAAGAGCTACGCAGTCAATAAATAATGGTAAATCACCATGCGAGTTTGTTGAGGGTGTCACAAAAAAAATGTTACTTAACCAGTACAACTTTTAAAAACGAAAAAAAAATGTTGCACATGTAACACCAAAACTTTGGACATGTCGGTCAGATTGATTAGAAAATGTCAACCCTTACCTCGTCCATGGGCAGCTACAGCCTGGTACGTCTGCTACATTGCTGGAATTAAAGGGAAGTAAATCAGTGCACGTCAGGTACCACAATCATGACACAACAACAGACACAACTTTCAGGTTGACATACTAAGAAGGGGGGGGGGGGGGGGGGTAATTGTTTTTTTAGAGATCATCACAAGCTACTGATTGGTTTTTCACCCAAATATTTTAGCCTACGTGGTGTCAACTTCATCTAGAAAAAATTACTCAAAATTGAAAAAAAAAAACATAAAATCTTTTATAATAATAAACGTTTAAATGCACTGAAAACAAATTTGCTTTTTATAATACAAAATTGGGTCGCTAAAATATGTTAGGGATCACATGAGCGACCAAAATTTGTTTAATAAAGAAAGAGGTTTATTTTATTTTATTATTTTCGGCGCATTTAAAATTGTACAAGCTAATTTAATATTAAGTTGTTTTGTATAGGTGTTTTATTTAACAACACTTATGAGTATTAACCTTGAGAATTAAATTTAAAAAAACGGCAGCTTACAGTATTTCCGTGACCTCACAACCGGTGAACGTCTGGGAGTAGTTGCTTGACATCATGAAAGATGACATCTGATAAAATATGACATCTGATAAAATATGACATCTGATAAAATATGACATCTGATAAAATATGAGATTTTAAAAATATGACATCTATAAAAGGGCGTCATGACATGGATCGTATTGATGACAATGAATCTGTTATTGTCGTGACACGTGACACAGTAACCCACAAGACACGTGACAGCATCATAAAAGTAACAACACAACAAATCAATGTGTCACGTGGTGTTGTGATAGGCCTACGACTTCTCACGCGACCAGATATTAACGGTTTCTCGTGTTGACCTATCTAAAGTGACAACAGCAAGACCTTGCCTTGTTGAGCTCAAACTCAACTCGTTATAACATACGAGTGGATTTGACGTCATCATAATATAACAAAAACATCGGCCAATAGGCATGACGTCATCACAATATAACAATACCATTGTCCACTAGACTGACATTAGCTGTACAAAAATGACTCCCCTCCCCCCCCCTCCCAACCAACTCTGACGTCATCTAGCTGATACCATTTTGGTTCATGTACTGACGTCACCATTCTTGACTTGTTTTAAATCAGCTAATTAGAGCTCATTAACTCGGTAGCTGAAAGACTAACAGGATTCCATATGGTGGCCCAGTTATGATACACCCCAGTGATGTTTAGCAGTTGAGGTGGGGATGTGGGGGCGGCTAATGTGGAAACGAGGTTAGTTATGTAGCTTAGATGTAGTGATCTGTTGTCTAGGTACCCGCGCCTACTTCACGCGAAAGTTGATTTGGATGTGTGTCATCTTTTTATTGGCTTAATTTTCGTGGCCTAATTGGAAAAATCGATTACAGGGCGAAACCATGGGAAGATAATTAAATATAAACAAGAGAGAGCTTGCTACCAATGTTTTAAATACCTAAATTTATGCCAGGTACTGATTTTAGCTGGGTAGACTCAATGTTTTATGAAGCCACCCCTCCCCACCCACCTCCTTATAAAGCCACCCCTAACCACCCACCTTCTTATAGAGCCACCTCTCCCCACCCACCTCCTTATAAAGCCACCCCACCCACCTCCTTATAGAGCCACCTCTCCCCACCCACCTCCTTATAAAGCACGCCACCCCCACCCACCTCCTTATAAAGCCACCCCTAACCACCCACCTCCTTATAAAGCCACCCCTCCCCACCCACCTCCTTATAAAGCCACCCCTCCCCAGCCACCTCCTTATAAAGCCAACCCTCCCACCCACCTCCTTATAAAGCCACCCACCTCCTGACACAGAGGTGTCGCAATCCTGAGAAAATCTGGCGAGCTTCTATTGGCCATGTTAGCGTTGTATGTGTGGTTCAGTATCCTCAGTGCGGCGTCTGCTTCTGTCACCTTGCTACGTCTGGCCGCTAACAAATGTCAAGGTTTAATTTCTTACACTTAATTATAAGTTAATTACTTCATTACATGTTTTATTGTCTAGGTGTAATAACGTCATTTTATTAAATAAAGTTTAGATTTATTATCTATAAAATGAGAAAATCGAGAAACTGAAATTGACCAGGTATAAATATCTTTAAGGCTAAATTTCAACTTACCAGACTCTACCTCTGGTTGATCTGAAAAGAAATATGTTAATTAAATTGTAATTAAATTATGTAAGTTTGTAAGAACGTGACGTCACATTACGTCAGATCCGGTCTGATGAGCTGAATATTTCAAACCGAAATTTGATGATTGTATGACGCGTTAGCCAAGGCGATATCTCACACATTGGGCATTTAGAAGCCGATTTCTGTCCCACACAGAATAGCTCAGCACGTGAGTTGGTGAGTACATTGGCCCTAACTTATGACAACTATGTAGGCACAGGTGTACGGCAGGTTTGATTTTTGTATCAGTAGGCGCTTCAAAGGTAAACAAATTTACCTTTTATAGGTCAGTGGTCAATATAATTTTTCTTTGTTAGTTGGTAGGTCAAGGGTCAAGATAATTATCTTGCTATAGCAGGTGGAAACATTGGGGGCAACAAAACTACCTTTCATATGATGGGGAGTGGGATAATTACCTTTCATTAGCTGGTAGAAGATCAACTAGCCTAGCAGGATAATTACCTTTCATGAGATGGGAGAAGGACATTTACCTTTCATAAGATGGGGGATCAGGACAACTACCTTTCATAAGATGGGGATCAGGACAATTACCTTTCATAAGATGGGGGATCAGGACAACTACCTTTCATAAGATGGGGATCAGGACAATTACCTTTCATAAGATGGGGAACAGGACAATTACCTTTCATAAGATGGGGATCAGGACAATTACCTTTTACGAGGCGGGGAACAGGACAATTACCTTTCATGAGCAGGTAGTAGACCAACCAGCCCAGCAGGACAGCGATGATAAAGGCGAGGATGAGGACGAGAAAAAAAATCACACACTTTCGACAGCGCCGTTTTTTCTTCCTCTCCGAGGAGGAGGTCACTCTGCTTGTCAGGCTAGCCGTGTCTGAGTGGTTTCCCCTGTACAACATGGCGTTGTAGCTACTTCCTGTCATTGGGCTCCAGACGGTGGATTTCTTGCCGGTGGAGTTGCTTCCCTCTTCTTTCTTCTCTGCCTTCTCATCCTTCTTTCTCTTCTGTGTGTGACGGTAAAGCCGGTTAACTTTGAGGGCTGGCTTGTAAGGTTTTATTCATTAAATACCCAAGACATTTGAAAGCGAATTTGTAATGCGAAATAGTCAAGTCTCAGTGCATGTGACTATTTCGTGCTGAAACTCAATTTTAAATCGTTATTTTCTCTAATGTAATTTGTAAGTGCGAGAAGTGTATTTGGATATTTCTCATGGCCTCTTCTTCTCTTTCATCCCCCCCCCCTTAATGTAAATGGGCTATAGTGTGTGTGTGTGTGTATGTGTGTATTTCAAAGGGATATATATATATATATATATATATATATATATATATATATATATATATATATATATATATATATATATATATATATATATATATATATATATATAGTGTGTGTGTGTGTGTCAGTTAAGGGAAAAAATCCAGAGCATGTAAGTAGCAGGATTCAGTAATGAATGCATGACCAAAAGACATATCGTCTCGTAATTAAATGTTAAGTGACCCTAGGCTAGACCTACCTTGGCTGACGTGTGTCCGGCTTGCTCCATCTCACCGACCAGTCCCTTATTCCAGTCGTCCATGTTGGAACGGTGTGTGAACACCTCCTCCACCTTTTGCACCCAGTGCGGCCGGGATTCGTTCCCAGTCTCTTTCGTTCCTCGCGGCATTGCTGGACAGCAGAATACTTGCCGCACACACACACACACACACACACACACACACACACCGGACAGTTGAGCAGTTGAAAGACGGACACTGGGCAGCTGGAAGTTAAATCACCAACCCTTGCATCTCTAACTCCGGTCAGTTTCCCACTTCAAACACAGAACACTTTTATAACTCTTGCATGGACTTAAACTTGATGATGATTAAATAGTATAACACTACCGTCTTAAAAAAAACAATGCACGGTATAAACTATTGCACTCTACTTTTTAGAAGGTCAACTTGCAGTTTTAATACAATCACTTTCGTTAAAACAACGTTAAATTATTAATGTAACAGGGTAATGCAATTATCCTTTTCACGGGTACAATGATCACATAAAATATTAATACAACGAATTTAGGTTAATTTAATTGAATATCATCAATAATTTATAATTTACTTCTATCCAGAAATTCGATGTTTAAACTATTTTGTATCTGTATGTATTAAATGAATTGAATAATCACTGCTGTTTCCTAGTTAGTCCAAACAGTTTTACACTAGAGTTACGCCGAAGTTATCCTCTAGTCAGTCAGCCACAGTCGAGAGGAAAGCAGAAATGAACGTTGGAATGTGGACTCTGGTGAGATGCGAACCCTTGCCGACCCGGTTTAAGGTGACACGTGTTAGACAACGCCCTCTGCCTCCCAATGTATCTACAACATTCACGACCGTCTCACGGAGTACCTATATCCTCCATTGTTACTAGCTCAGCTCTCGCCACAGTACAAATTGTCAGATGTGTATCGTTTTAAATGCTTAGATTAAAACCTTTCCCTCGTGTTATTAACCCATACATTGATAAGCTGTGTGTTAAATTGAGAGAATCCCCTGCCATTGTGACCTACATCCCAGCAGTAAACAAACACAATAAAAAATGGGCAGCGTCTTGTACGAACGACTGGACAAACCAGAGAGTTGAGTGACCGACGTCAACGGTCGACGTCACAGCTACACAAGATTTATTGGGAGACGTCATGAGACCCAGTCATTCGGCTCTACCCCCCCCCCCCCACACCTCCCCATAAGTTCAGCTCCCCTGTATTTAGTGATTAGAACCCGTGCTCAATGTAAGCTGTAAATGAAATCAGCATAGAGGGCTGAACTGGTGAATTGTTGGTTTACTGGGATTTGTTTTATGGCAGACATGTGACGAACAGACACATACATAAATACATATCACACAAACAGCCTATATATATATATATATATATATATATATATATATATATATATATATATATATATATATATATATATATATATATATATATATTTATTTATGTTTGAGTATGCATGTTTTGGCTTTCTGTATAGGTGTCACAAATAAAATAACCCAACATCAAAACTGACCAAATGAGTTTGCCACACATAGTAAGCAGAATTCAAGAAAGGCCAGCGGCCAATTTAAAGCGCCATGCCATGAAAAACTAAATTTTATTTCATAATCTTTTAAAAGGTAGTGTGTGAAGTGTGTCATTTTGTTTTCTATGTCTGGGGCATTTGTCTTGGATCTCATGCAAACATGTGCATGAAATGAAAGGTTTGTTTATTGAATTTCAACTCTCGGTATTAGGAATAGTATATTTGAATTGAATTGCATAGGATCAAATCAGTTTGTATCAAATTAGATGATGGTAGTGTTCGTCAATCCTAGGTTTAGGGATGACGTGTCAAGACGCCAGCATAACAGCTATCATGTTTTCAGACACCAATTCGTTCCATCACAACTATGACAGCTATCATGTTTTCAAACACCAACATTCCATCACAACCAAGACAGCTATCCTGTTTTCAAACACCAATTCATTCCATCACAACCAAAATGACCAAAAAAAAAAAACGTTTTATTTATATTTATTTTATTTCTCATATTCTCTTCACAAATAGCAACAATAAAAAGCCAATGAAAGAACAGAAAATAAAGAATATTGACAGTTCGGGAGAACCTGAATGAAATGGTGGATCCTAAATATGACGTAACATAAACAAAACAGTTATTAACGGATTTACCGAAGCTCACGATGCGGGGAGAATTTGGCTATAAATGAAGGGTCATTTCATAAAACAACAAACGATATCAGGATAGTTGACTTTCGCGTGGATAAAATTGTTGGTTTAAGCGATTAGAACATGTCGCCCGCTTCCTGCATTAACTCACATACGAGTGAGTAGTTATCACGTGGTAGTGGACTTCCGGTTTAACTCGTTTTAAAAATATCACTCAAAAGTTGAAAGATATTCGATTTTTAAACATTATATTTAGCTGTGAAATTTTTGTAACGAATGTAGCGCCATTAAAATTGTTTTTCTTCAACGAGGCGTTTTACCAAAGCGATGCCTCGGGGGTTTTGTGGCTTCCATCTCGGTCCTGAGACCAGGCCTACGTGTTGACACAACCATATCGTCTGCTACAAAACCTGCTGGAAAATGATTGGCTGTCTTAGAAGTACACTGCCACGTGGCGGAACGTGCTGATTGGTGTTTGAAATAAATACAAAAACTCGACTTTTTTCACAGGGAATAAATAATGCGTAAATTACATGATTGTAGGTTTTTTTTAGGACTTTTACAGACATGAAAAAATAAAAAATAAAACGCAATTAATTCAATAAAAATGAAAGTTTTCAATATGTTATAAGCCCACGTTGAAAGGGTTAATCCGGAGGGTGGGGACAAATGAAGCAGATGAGCGCGGTTGAAAACAGACAACTAATTAGTGACAAAATGAATTAATTTACGTTCGTCCGTCGACAACTTTAATTAATGAATGCAAGTAGATTAGAATTCGGGAATGTTCAGTAGTTCAGCTTCTAGATTTCAACTCTAAATTAATATGAATGGAGCTTGTTTAATTGAATACAACGGAATGCGTTGGCTATTTTGATATTTAATCATTTAACTTTCGTAGCATGAACATTAGTTAATTTTTTTAAAATCAGATAACGATTATTTATTATATTCACTTAACTCTGAAATGAAGATTTGCTACGTCATATTTATAAAGTAATCTCGAATTGTAAGCATGTTTTATGTTTTAATGTTCCGTAATGTTTTCTAATATTTATCTGTTTTAATGTTCCGTAATGTTTTCTAAAATACAAGTTTTTAGAGTTGTCGGGAAAATATATTTTCATGAACACAAATCACATAAACATAACTGAAAAAGTTCAATCAAATTAATAATTTTAAATTATTTTACAGTTTCATAAACAGACAATGAAAACTTGAAATATTATCATTGTGTAACAAATAGCAAAATATTATACCAGACAGGTACAAAATAACTATGGCATTTTTTTAGCAAAGGACAAGAGTTTCTTTCATAAAGCCGTTTAGTACAAAAATAAGTATAAATTGAGTTGAGTAACACCACACATAACACAGGGTACTACTGTCACCAGAACTTATTTTTGTAGAAACTTAATTCATAATTAATAATTAACTTAATGTATGTTTAGTGGCGTCTTGTTTAAAACTAAAGGTATGTGCGTTTTGCAACGTTTTCTTACCTTCTGTCTTTACCCTTGTTAAGTTTATTCTCGTTTAACAATACTTGATTTTACCACTTCATGAATTTGTTTCAAAATATAAAAATACATAAACATGTTTTTTTTTTTACTTTATTTTTATTTTCATTAGATCGAGCGTCTAAAATCAAACATGTTTGAGGCGTATAATTTTTATTTTAACTTCCCCCCATGCCCATACCCCCCTCCCCCCACCCTGAAGAAACGGCAGCATGGCGTGCCCCTCAAAGCATGCCCAGGAACCTGGCGGTGCAGGAGCTCCGGCACTGGGGCTGGGGGTGGGGGACGTAGCGGTTCTTGAGCTTCATGGTCCGCAGGAAAATCTCGGCCTCCAAGACACAGTTTTCTTTCTTCAGGCAGAGGGCGGTGGCCGCGGCACGGTACACGTTGTCACAGTGGTCACGTGATACGCCCAGGGAGTGGCCCTAGGGAGAGGGAAGGTCAGGGTCAGACTTTCATAGGGGACTCAGTTTATATGTAACACAGAGAGATGTATGAGACTAGGTAATAGGTGATTCGATGATAAACGTGATACAACAGGTGACACAATGGTACATAATGTGACGTAATGTTGCAGGGTGACACAATGGTACAGGTGAGAAAATGGTAAACGTGACACAATAGGTGACACAATGGTACAGGTAACACAATGGTTCAGGTGACACATCAGGTGACACAATGGTACAGGTGACACAACAGACGAGACATTGGTACAAGTGACAATAAGTTACAGATGAAATAATAACTGCAGATACCGATATGATAGAGATGGTAATGTGTCAAAGATGTTACAGATAATGTATAATTCTTTCACAACTGTGTGTCCATATTAACATATAAACTCTACTACTTCTACGCAACAGAAACTTTAACACGGTTAATAAGCTCACAAAACACAATCAACACACCAAATCACGTGACAAAAATGTAACTTACACAGGCGTAACACATCTCGTGAATGTTACACAGCGACCTGGCCTCCGTGTCCACAGGTAGAGAGTAGAGGTCAGCGAGTTCACAGTTGGTGCTGTATGCCTGGACAGCGGGGCATTCATCTGGGGGGGGGGGGGAGGGGAGAGTTGGGGGGGGGGGGAGAATAAAAAAAGCTGGTTAGAGCAATACAACACTTTTTTTTTTCATTCCATGAATCATGATTGTCTTTTGAAATATGAGATTTTATTGTCTGGGATATCACGTCCAAGATCACACTGAGATATTATATCATGTCGCCTAGTTGGCTTTTACAAAAAGTATCAGTTTGTAGCAGGTTACATTTGAAATTAAATATATCATCACCCTTATATTATGGAGATGTAACAATAATTAGTAAAATGTAGTTAACAAATTATTGTTTTAAAAGTAAGATCGCAATCTGCTTAAAAATAAAATTAATTTTCAAATCTTGGTTAATCCATTACATCATTTCTCGTGTAGATCGCATTTGACACATGTATTCCAAATTTGAATAAACACCGGTTATGACGCACGTCCTATTCACGAGTCCGGAAATTTCCGGTCGCCACCCAGACACGTCTCAATCATACCCAGCGTAACCATGGCGACCCGGCTACCGGAAGCGGAAAGAGCTAATATCTAAGACAAAGAATCGAGTCATGCTTTCTCCACCCCAAAGCTAGCACAATACTCGTTTCGTATCGAGTGTGTGGGGAGGGGAGGGGGGGGGGAGGGTTTACGACAAGATGCACATCCATACTTTGCTACGGTGCGAAAAGGACAGAGAAAAGGCATTAAACAATACACGTTTGTGTGATTAGTGAAAATAATTATTAATTTCACATCATTTGTTAAAAAAATAATTAAGTGAATAGTAGTGGCAATAACACAATGAACCAAAACCCGCTCCACGTTTTTGAACCACATCCGCTATCAACACGATACCCCACAACATAACATCAAACACTCAAACCCACACACCAGTGTTCCATATAACATAACCCACACTTCAGCCCACGATAACCACCAATAAATGACATCCCACACCATACATATCATCCCCCCCCCCACATACATACACGACACACTAAGTAGACCAAAGCTTACACCACACCACCACTCACCTCGAACCACACCATCCACACACCCAATACAACACCATGAACCACACCCTGAAACAAACCCCACACCACACAATCCCCACACCATGAACCACATTATACTTCACTCGCAAATCGCATGACACCCGACAACATACAGCATACACTGGAACCCACACTGCACACTCCACATACCACTAAACCCACTCGTTGTATGTGTATGTATGGCACATAGCTTGCACTGAGATGCTACTGTAGGAGTATATGTGGTGCCCTAATTGCACTGGCGTTGAACTATATGAGTGTATGTGGTACCCTAATTGCACTGAGATGCTACTGAATGTGTATGTATATGGTATGAAGGTTGCTCCTGTGCCCTAAAGCGAGTCTAGAATGATGGACGATTCAACTTTTTATAGAACTGAAATCTTGATCTGACTACTTTGATGAATCACGTCTGTGTTGATTACCGGCTGATAATTACTTTAAGTTAGTAGCTGGTGGGTAGGGCTGGGAATTTGTGACCATACCTGTGGGGATTTAGAATTGTCACTACCTAATTGTGGATTAGAATTTGTCACACTTAATTGTGGATTAGAATTGTCACACCTAATTGTGGACTAGAATTGTCACACTTAATTGTGGATTAGAATTGTCACACCTAATTGTGGATTAGAATTGTCACACCTAATTGTGGATTAGAATTGTCACACCTAATTGTGTATTAGAATTGTCACACCTAATTGTGGATTAGAATTGTCACACCTAATTGTGGATTAGAATGGTTCATAACTGTGTGGGCAATTATTCTGGGACATCTTATCAGTAGAACATCAACACAAATAAAAAGCTCTCAAACCATTACAAAGAGTCACCGAAAATGAATGACGGAGTTATAAAACGCCGACGTGTTTTAACACTATTCCAAGCCCTTACAACGTTTTAATTCATTATCCAACGCAAACCTCTGTGAATAAGGAAGCATGTAGTTGTGGAAATAATGAGGAAGGGCATTATTTAGAGAATAAAAAATATCCACTTGACCCTTAAAGTTTGTTCTTGTATTTTTTATAATGTAGAAAAAAGTGTCTGTTTCTGCTGCCGCTGATATTTGGAATTGATCGATTAATTCTAATTGGTGTTTCCATGTATAACATAAGTTATTGCAACATCGTATTCTTTTCTTAACCTTAACCCTAACGCATCATCATTTCTCAACACTAATCTCAACACTGTACAGCTTTAGATGTTTAACATCGTCATCTTGTCATAACCTTAAACCTAACGTTGTTATCATTACACAGACGCCATCTTTCCTTAACACCAGCCTTAACGCCCAACAGCATTAGTTATTCAATTTCATCTTCTTTAAAACCTAACTATATATACCATTAGTCAGTGCAACATCATGTGATCAAATGTTAGTTTCTTAACCATAACCTTCGACTTGTTTTCTTGACCCTCACCCTATCCCAGTAAAACGTTAGTTATTTTATCCTCCTTACTTTCTAAACTTCAAAATTTCGATCAAAACTGGTGCAGTTTTAGGACTCTAAGATAACCGACCAAAAACTGGACATTTAAATCTTATTTAATAGACTGAGTCAGACAGCGGGTTTTATCTGCCGCCTTTACGTGACCTATTCGTGTAATGATGTGTTGTAAGAAAAGGTCGAAATTCCTTTAAAAACAGTAAAAATAGCTTCTAATCCTGCTTGTATGCAAAGTTGTGTTTTCTCTTCAACCAAAGCTGAAATTTTAGATAGAAAATATAACTAGAGCCTCCTGTTGTTGTTTTTTCCAACCAAGCGGGTAACTTTCTTTTGGGGGGGGGGGGGGGGGGGGCGAAGAGATGCCTGGAAGAAAGTGCTAGTTGACACTAAACTGGATGGGATCCACCGCAGCTCACCCTATTGATATCTGACAGGAAGTAAAATGCCTCGGAAGGTCGCCTTCGACTGTTGGACTACGTCAACAGTTCAACTTGATAGTTATCTCCCCCTGGTTTTAGCGCGTGCAAACAATGACGTCTGGGATACCGTCAGGTCTGTTTGAGGTCACGTGGTATTGATCGCGGCGCGTGCAGGAAGTGATGTCGTGAAGTCACGGCAAGCGTGGCTTTGATGAGGCGTTACGTCACGGCCAGCGTGGCTTTGATAAGGCGTGACGTCACGGCCAGCGTGGCTTTGATGAGGCGTGACGTCACGGCCAGCGTGGCTTTGATGAGGCGTGACGTCACAGCCATCACACCATTGATGAGGCGTGACGTCACGGCCACCACACCATTGATGAGGCGTGACGTCACAACCACAACAGCATTGATGAGTCGCTACGTCACAGCCACCATTTCATTGATAATGCATGACGTCACTGCTACAGTAAATTAATGGTGCATGACGACGCAGCTCATTCCGCGATTGATAGGGCGTGACGTCACAGTCTATGCGGCACAACTGAGACGTGACTTGACATAATTTTTTTAAACAAACATGAGAACTGATTCCAGAGAAAAAATATTTCAATCCAATTTGAACACGCGTTTCGTGACAAGAATAGGAAGTTTTGGTTGTGAGTCACCAGTCACTGACTCGATCTCTTGACAAGGACCCAAAAAGAAAGATTACGTGTACTAGTTCTAGAGTTCAGAGACTTCTCATTGCTGATGTTCTATTGGGCTGAGAGAGACGTGTGCTTGGTGCTTTCAAGTCTACATGAGTACAACCTAAAGGCTACATCACCTCAACATAAGAATGTCATACAACCTAAAGGCTACACCACCTCAACACAAGAATATCATACAATCTAAAGGCTACATCACCTCAACACAAGAATATCATAAACCTAAAGGCTACACCACCTCAACACAAGAATACCATACAACCTAAAGGCTACACCACCTCAACACAAGAATATCATACAACCTAAAGGCTACATCATCTCAACACAAGAATGTCATACAACCTAAAGGCTACATCACCTCAAGAATATCATACAACCTAAAGGCTACATCACCTCAAGAATATCATACAACCTAAAGGCTACATCACCTCAACATAAGAATGTCATACAACCTAAAGGCTACACCACCTCAACACAAGAATATCATACAACCTAAAGGCTACATCATCTCAACACAAGAATACCATACAACCTAAAGGCTACATCACCTCAAGAATATCATACAACCTAAAGGCTACATCACCTCAAGAATATCATACAACCTAAAGGCTACATCACCTCAACATAAGAATGTCATACAACCTAAAGGCTACACCACCTCAACACAAGAATATCATACAATCTAAAGGCTACATCACCTCAACACAAGAATATCATAAACCTAAAGGCTACACCACCTCAACACAAGAATACCATACAACCTAAAGGCTACATCACCTCAAGAATATCATACAACCTAAAGGCTACATCATCTCAACACAAGAATACCATACAACCTAAAGGCTACATCACCTCAACATAAGAATATCATACAACCTAAAGGCTACATCACCTCAACAAATGAATATCATACAACCTAAAGGCTACATCACCTCAACATAAGAATATCATACAATCTAAAGGCTACATCACCTCAAGAATATCATACAACCTAAAGGCTACATCACCTCAAGAATATCATACAACCTAAAGGCTACATCACCTCAACACAAGAATACCATACAACCTAAAGGCTACACCACCTCAACACAAGAATACCATACAACCTAAAGGCTACATCACCTCAACACAAGAATATCATAAACCTAAAGGCTACACCACCTCAACACAAGAATACCATACAACCTAAAGGCTACATCACCTCAACACAAGAATACCATACAGCCTAAAGGCTACATCACCTCAACACAAGAATATCATAAACCTAAAGGCTACACCACCTCAACACAAGAATACCATACAACCTAAAGGCTACATCACCTCAACACAAGAATACCATACAACCTAAAGGCTACATCACCTCAACACAAGAATGTCATACAACCTAAAGGCTACATCACCTCAACACAAGAATACCATACAACCTAAAGGCTACACCACCTCAACACAAGAATATCATACAACATAAAGGCTACATCACCTCAACACAAGAATACCATACAACCTAAAGGCTACATCACCTCAACACAAGAATACCATACAACCTAAAGGCTACATCACCTCAAAACAAGAATACCATACAACCTAAAGGCTACATCACCTCAACACAAGAATATTATAAACCTAAAGGCTACATCACCTCAACACAAGAATACCATACAACCTAAAGGCTACATCACCGCAACACAAGAATACCATACAACCTAAAGGCTACATCACCTCAACACAAGAATATCATACAACCTAAAGGCTACACCACCTCAACACAAGAATACCATACAACCTAAAGGCTACATCACCTCAACACAAGAATACCATACAACCTAAAGGCTACACCACCTCAACACAAGAATACCATACAACCTAAAGGCTACATCAACTCAACACAAAAATATCATACAACATAAAGGCTACATCACCTCAACACAAGAATATCATAAACCTAAAGGCTACATCACCTCAACACAAGAATACCATACAACCTAAAGGCTACATCACCTCAACACAAGAATACCATACAACATAAAGGCTACACCACCTCAACACAAGAATATCATACAACATAAAGGCTACATCACCTCAACAAAAGAATACCATACAACCTAAAGGCTACATCACCTCAACACAAGAATACCATACAACATAAAGGCTACATCACCTCAACACATGAATACCATACAACCTGAAGGCTACACCACCTCAACACAAGAATACCATACAACTTAAAGGCTACATCACCTCAACACAAGAATACCATACAACCTAAAGGCTACATCACCTCAACACAAGAATATCATACAACATAAAGGCTACATCACCTCAACACAAGAATATCATAAACCTAAAGGCTACATCACCTCAACACAAGAATACCATACAACCTTAAGGCTACACCACCTCAACACAAGAATACCATACAACCTAAAGGCTACATCACCTCAACACAAGAATACCATACAACCTAAAGGCTACATCACCTCAACAAACGAATATCATACAACCTAAAGGCTACATCATCTCAACAAAATAAACACGTTTTGTAAGAAAAAAGCTACTGTAACTTAAGAATAAAACACGTTTTACAACAAAAAGGCTACATGTAGCCTCGTTCTGAACCTGATTACCCTGCGTTAATTAGGTTTTGGAAGCTAACAACAGTTGGGTCCTAAAAGTCCTTAAAGTCCTTAAAGTCCTGGAAAATGATGGCTGCGGTGAAGTACTACATTTAATCTTGGAACACAAAGGCCGGTAATACCAGGACTAAAACACGACAATAGTGTGTCAGGCTAGGATGAAATTACATTTTTATGGAAGAAAAAAATGTTGGAAAAAGTTGTTGTTTTTTTGAGTGAGTTCCTTACGTTGTAAACGGAATATTTTTACTTCCTAAAAAAAAGTTGAACTGTTATTTTTGTTTGTAATGTTTAGGATTGTCTACCACAAGCAACTTTGTGAACTGTCAACACTTAGGAATTGTTCAAACGTTAAATCACTACGACATAGGCGTCCATTTCTGTGCTAAAGAAATGTCTACATTTGTGATAATATGTATTAAAAATGTCTATATCTGATGAACAATGTCCGATGTTTTTTATAAAAATGTCCACATTTGTATGATACAGAAAAATGTCCACATTTGTATGATACAGAAAAATGTCCACATTTGTATGATACAGAAAAATGTCCACATTTGTATGATACAGAAAAATGTCCACATTTGTATGATACAGAAAAATGTCCACATTTGTATGATACAGAAAAATGTCCACATTTGTATGATACAGAAAATGTCCACATTTGTATGATACAGAAAAATGTCCACATTTGTATGATACAGAAAATGTCAACAATTGTATGATACAGAAAATGTCGACAATTGTATGATACAGAAAATGTCAACAATTGTATGATACAGAAAAATGTCCACATTTGTATGATACATAAAAATGTCCACATTTGTATGATACCGAGGCGATAGAATGTCGTCTGGGACTGAAGGCTAATGTAAATGAGAGATTTACTGGACTACAAATCCCATAGGATTATCACCCGTTAGCCGCGGCTTTACCCGATGGATGAATTATTTCAAGCAGACTTATCCCCCCCCCATCATACCCGCACGCCCTCCACCCCTACCATACCCCTCGCCCCCCCCCCCCCCCCCCAACCTCTCGTAGCCCATACCCTGCCCAAGCCAGCCATTAGATTTACATATGCATGAGCCAGAGGAAGCCTGACAGGGGCATGTAACTCTCAAACAATAGTGCGCGGTGATATGGAGTTATCCCATATTTTACAAAAAATTTTCCCCATTACATTTTTTACATTTTCGTGCACTTAAATTAATTATTCAATTTAATTCTGCTTTGGTGCTTTTGTCATCAGCATATTTTCTGGACCTGGTAGAAGACGACGTCAACTGTTGGGGGTGATGATGCTAGGAGCTATTTTGATTTAGAACCCCTCTCCCCCCCCCCCCCCCCCCCGCCACACACACATACACCAGAAAAACCAAAGGGGCATTCATTGGCCGACAATTTAAGGTAAAAAGCAATATAAAGATAATAAATGTAAGCATACGTCACATTACGTAATCATATGGGTAGCACACCGCACACGTTAAGGCATGATCTAATTACCGTGATGATAATTACCGACTGAGTTGATCGATGACGTGTGTATATCCTTGGAGGGAAGTCTGAGGGGACGGGTTGGAGGAGTTGGGGGGGCGGGGGGGGGGGGGGGGGGGGGGGCGGGGGAAGAGTTTGGGTCAAAATAATGGGGGGAAGGTTGTGATGAACAGATTGGGGGTGAGGGGGGGGGGGAGTCATAATGATGATTCTAGTTGGGATAAATGGAAAGCGACATTTTAAATTACTCGTGTAATAATCGATTAGTTCAATAATTTCAAATGTTTTCACTGCGCCGGTGATTTAAAGATAATTTCAAGCGAAACGAGAAACAAAGATGTTATCGTTTTAATGAGGATGTGTGCCTTAGATAATTACAAAATTAGATAGTCATCATGTATCGGGTGTATGAGCTCTATGATAAAGACATGTATTCTTGGCTTTTGGGAGAGGTGAGATAAAGGGATGATTTGTCTACGGTTAGGTGGTTATGGTCATGGTTAAGTTAGAATTTGTAGTAGTTTTAGTTTAATGTTATTTTTTTTTTAATATAATTGTGATACTGGTTAGTTAACATTTGTTTTGTAAGTTGCGATAATACACTTGTTTTGTCTGATTCTAAACTGTGTCTGTGTTTTAATGGCGTTGCAAAGTTTATTATGTACCCTGGTCAATTGATTATTTTATACGTTGTTTTTTTTTACTCCGACCAACCACACTTTCTCCTCAGACTGTGAGCACTCGGCCCTGACATTGAGAGGGGGTCAAGGACGTGCACTTGTCACCAGAGGCAACAGGTCAGTGACAGTTGTCTTCCATAAGGGGAGAAGTATCAAGGCGGCGAGGGTCTTCTCCCCTTCCTATCTGACCCTCCCCCCTTCCCCCCCCCCCCCGACCAATAACACACACACACACACACACACACACACCAAACCATCACGTTTTGTAGCAGCATCAAGACGAGGGTGCTCTATCCCTACACCATCCTATCAACACCCCCCCCCTTTTCCAGACTACATGAGTACAAACCCAACACACACACCAGACTATACATTTTACAGCAGCACTACCTAATACACATCGCTATTGTGATTATACTAGATAATTAATAAACTTGACCTAACCGAACGCTAGGTATAAATAGCTGTAGAAAAATAAAATATGTGAAAGAAACCCCTGTTGGGGTAAGATCGAAAAGTTCAAACATGAACCAGTACCTGCGTTCTTGACAAACAGCGAGGCGATGGCTGGGTCCGTATCGTCGTCTGTTTCTTTAACCAGGTACTGCTCACCTAGAAGCTGCTCAATGTCGGCTTTTGTCAACTTTTTACCTGCGGGAAACAAATTATTATTAGGTGTCAGTGCGCATGTCATAAGAAAACAAATGTGAGATGTAGTTCTGTCAAACAAAAGTTACGATCAAAACATCCATGTATTGAGAGCGATAAAGAGAAAACATTTGGCATAACGATTAAGAAAATGGTTTGGTGTCACCATGTAGAGTGTCATATGTGTTTTGTCAACAGATAATGTGTCATTAAGTAAGGTGTCACCAAGACATAGAACATATGGTGTCAACAGGTGTCATGTTACCGGGTAGGGTGTCACCAGGTGTCATATCACCGGGTAGGGTGTCACCAGGTGTCATATCACCGGGTAGGGTGTCACCAGGTGTCATATCACAGGTAGGGTGTCATCAGGTGTCATGTCACCAAGTAGAGTGTCACCAGGTGTCATGTCATCATGTAGAATGTCACCAGGTAGGGTGTCACCAGGTAGGGTGTCACCAGGTGTCATGTCACCAGGTAAGGTGTCACCAGATCAGGGAACTTATGGTATCACTGTGCACTTGCACAAGACCAGAGCTGATAACGTCACAATATTACTTTCTGTTGCATAAAAAACCATTGTAGGAACTAGTGTAGTTTCAATTGGGGCACCAGCACCTATTCTTCAAACATTGACAGTAAAGTTCATGGAAGAAATTTGCTTTAGAGACTTGAGTAGAGGGCTCAATGAATATACGTCGTTTTACAATGGGAACTTAATTTCTTTAATGCTTCCCTCAGGCGTGAAGCGACAGGAAACAAAAAGTTTACGCCCCCCCCACCTCCCCACTCCAATGTTTTCAGACGTTAAAAAATTTAACTCGATACAGACATGGCCTTGATCGAGTTTTCCATTTTTTAAACCATAAAAAAAAACATTCGCGCTTAATTTATTTTTAAAGTACAGAAGGCTCAAGTTAAAAAAAAAGTCTAGAGCTTAGACTTCTTTTTTAAAAAATTGAGCTTAGACTGACATTAAAATTGTGATATGGGAGAGAAGTACAGCGACATAACTCGCTCAAGAAGGGAGATAACTAGTCATATGGCTCAGTACAGGACATAGGGGAGCGAACTAGTCACATGAAGCGTTATATTACATTGCAGTTGTCGGTAATGTTTGGGGTTGGAGGTAATATTGGGGTTGGTGGTAATATTGGGGTTGGAGGTAATGTTGAGGTTGGCGGTAATATATTGGGGTTGGCGGTAATGTTGAGGTCGCCAGTAATATTGGGGTTGGCGGTAATGTTTAGGTTGCCAGTAATATTGGGGTTGCAAGTAATGGATTTCGAAAGATATTGACCTTAAAAAAGATCCGTAAATAAAAACAAGACAATAAAAGAAGAAATAAGTATCTAATATCAAAGAAGGGAAGCAATGATAGATGGAGAAAAGAGTTGTCTAACCTATTGGAGGAATCAGCTCATCGTCGTCATCTTTCTTCTGTCTCTTCCAAGGCTCACCCCGTTTTGCCATAGTGGGCTCCTCCCCTAGGAAGTCCGCACTGTTCTTTAGATCCTGGTAAAATATGTAAACACATTTAAAATCCATTTTAAATGCTGAGATTTTGTTAGACTTAACTTATAAGTTGCAGAAATTAGCATTGAAAACTGTTAAATGGTTTTAATTTAGATCTATCTTAAATTAATTCATCAAGGGACCGAGTGGTCTGGCGGTAGAGAGCTGGACTGCTAACACGTTAGTCTCGAGTTTGAATCCGGGTTCAAGTCAGTAAACCGTCCCTGAGTCCACCCAACTCTGATGGGTACCTAACTCACGTTAGGGAAAGTACAGGCGGCTGGGCATAGTGCTGACCACACTATCTCTTCATATGCCGAGGTCACAGAAACAAGTGAACTCTTCTTCATTTGCCCCATAGACCGTCAGGTTTGAAAGGGAAACTTTAATTCATCAAAATATAGGGGTCTATCTTAAATAAAATAAATAAAGTTGTTTTTTTCCATAGCTGTAGATCGAATCGACCCGTTTGATTAAAGACCTCGTTCGATTATGTCTTTTGCTGGCTATCGTCTGGCAAATTTTTAAATTGATGTAAATTTCTGATTCCATTAACGTCTTGTTTGATGTATTTTGGAAAGATGTGTTATTGATTTTTTTTCTAAGAGATTAAATTGACACAGGGTGCTTTTTTGAGAGGAGAGCACGTTCATTTTAGGGGTTGGTGTATGGGGTCATGTCATGTCAGTTTGCCCCATCATTGGTCAGTGTATGTGTCCCATCATTGGTCAGTCTCTGGCCCAACATTAGGTCTGTCTGTGGTTTAAATGTCCAGATAGTTTCGGGTTTCGTGGTCTAGTAGCCACTCAATGTGTGGTCCAGTTGAATGTCAATATAACTATGGAGAAATAGCCTAAGTCGCAATCAGTGTGTGGTACTTTAACTATTTGAACGTTTGATGTAATGTATTACAGCTTGTTTGATTTGTGATGTGGTACTTTATTATTGTGTGGCTTGTGTTCCACACTTTCAAACACCTTTTTTTCTCCTGTGTTTTGTAACGGTTATTTGATAAAACTTGTAGCTACTATACATAAGTTAACAAGTAATCAAAGAAAATGTGTCCTAAAACAGCGCCGCTATGGAATCACTTGAGGTGTAACTGTTGATGAGGTAATTCTAATTAAGTTTCCATTAATCGATTTTTATATCGACACGGGCATCAGACTTATGACTTAAAATCAAATATTTTAATGTGATTAGGTTCCGTCATTACGCTGCATTGGTCGAGTCGATCGTTTAACGACAAGAAATCGATATTGATTGAAACGGCCAATTCAAAGCGCGTTCTACCGGCTGAAACATCGACACACTGGTTTCTTTGTTGTCATTGTTTTACTTTTGGCGTTTAGAAGTCGACCTTGGCTTGGCTCTCTGGGAAAACCGCACCGGCGGTGGAGTTTGAAAAAAAAATGGCATTTTTTTCTGTAAATTTAAATCTAACTGGTCAAGTTGACATTGTCATTTTTTTCTGTAAATTCAAATCTAACTGGTCAAGTTGACATTGTCGAGTAGAACGTAAATGTCGTCAAGTTGGTGAGTAGGTGGTAATACTGGTTAAAAAAATGTTATCCTGCATACCCCCCCACACCCACCCCAATCAACCCCACCCCTCCTAATCTGGTGTACACTTAATACTACCAGCCTAAGAGGAAACCAAAACAAATACGCCATGAAAACCAGAGCCGTGCAAATAGCGCTGTATAGCCGCAAGCAAATGTTCCATAATGAACACTGTTATGTAAATACTGCCTCACAGAGACCAGCTAATGCCTGCTAAAGTCCTGCTAAAGTCCTGGAACAATGTTCTTTTATACCAGCACTAAATGTTCCCTGAATGTCACACTAAATGTTCCCTGAATGTCACACTAAATGTTCCCTGAATGTCACACTAAATGTTCCCTGAATGTCACACTGTTCCCTGAATGTTACACTGTTCCCTGAATGTCACACTAAATATTCCCTGAATGTCACACTAAATGTTCCCTGAATGTCACACTAAATGTTCCCTAAATGTTCCCTGAATGTCACACTGTTCCCTGAATATCACATACATGTCGCCTTATTGTCCCAAAACATTACACAAAATTTCTAAAAACATGTGAAATACTTTTTAAATACGAAGATTATTAGTAAGAATAAACAATAATGACCCCAACAAATGTCCTTTGTAAAAAAAAATGTCTCATAAATGTCCTCTGAAGATCCCAAATATGTTGAATGTATTTAATACAACTCGTGTAAGAACAGAAACAAGTATGATCGACAGTAATCAATTAGACAATGCTGATGAGCATCACAGTTAATTACATCGATAAAATCATTATTTTGATCAACAAACAATTGGTATGCACCTGTTATTTTAATTAACAAATGCCTCTGATAATATATTTGTGAGAACAGATGTTCACTGAGTGGGAAATGTTTAAATAGTGTGTCGGGCTGAAATGAGAAGTTTTAATACACCTTAAAGGTATAGCTCCTAGAGCAAGACGAGAAATAGTTGACGTCACTTCACCCAGCCCTAGGTGGTGGGTGTGAGGTGGGGGTTGGCCAGACATCATTTAGGATTGGGATGGGGGGGGGGTCTACTGGTCCAAATAAAACCCACCTACATCAATGATGTAGATTTGTATTCTCTGATCCCAATAAACCTCGGTATTTCTGTTTACTTAATAACTTTGTTTTGTACCTGTGTACGTTTGTAAAATAATTTTTTTTTTACAAGTCTTATAAGAGACAGCTAAGTCCTGCTTCCTCCCGTCTTATGTGTGATTGGGCTGGCTAATTACAGCAAGAACAGACATAAATGACCAACAGCCAAACTTTCGGTCAGCTTTGACTAATTATCTTGATGAAGGGTCACATACCTAACGTTTAATTAATTAGATTGATGAGACCATGTTGATCTTTCCATCACAACAGATACCATCTTCACCCAAACGTTTCACCAATCAGGATACACTTGTATCGATACCGCCCACCAAGCAATGTTTACAAGTCGATACCATTGCGATAACAGCCCACTACCGTACTCATCATTTATAAAAGGCGACACTAAAATATTTTCAATTCGCACCCTAAGACCTGCCCAAACAAAACCCATCTCATCTCTTCTAAGTGTGTGTGCGGATGGGGGGGGGGGGGTGCGTACTCCAAGCTAGCCGCTTATTTAGCTAATGACGTTCTGGTGGGGCGTCAACCCCAGCCTCATCAGCCCCCCCTCTATCACACCCTCCGGCAAAACGTTGCGAAAGTTGCCTCATGACGCATGCGCGCTCTTCACGCCGTTGCTGAATGGTTGGTCTGAATCTGTGCTGAAGTACTCACTGAGGAGGGGGGGGGGGATAGGGGGGGGGGTTGTACGACGCGACCGAAATAGCGGCTTAAACCTAACTAAAACATTGCCTTAAACCTAACTAAAACATTGCCTTAAACCTAACGCAAACAGACAATCCTAACTGTAAGGCAGTCCGACGGTGTTCTAAGCAATAATCCCATAAGTACCCGAGTTGGGCGGGGGATTATCTTGTCTTTATTTCTGATTGCTTCTAAATATAGCAGTAAAAATATAATTAAAGTTAACGTGCGATAAATCCCATCAAACAGATATTTTCATCATTTGGTCATGTATATAACCTATGTATAGATGGACATGCCCAAGTTTGAGGAACATTTTTAATGAAGGAAACAATAGTCAGCTTGATGTCCGTCTTCCCTTTACCAACCCCGACTAAAGCCTGTTGCTCATCAAAGCTTGGTGGACTCAGTAACGTCATACAGTTGGGTATCCTTCAGAGCTAGGCTGATTTAAGGATGTCTCAAGGTCAAGTACCCATCAGAGTTGGGTGGACATGGAGGTCCCACGGTCAGGTACCCATCAGAGCTGGGTGGACATGGACGTCCCACTGTCAGGTACCCATCAGAGCTGGTTGGACTAGAGTCAGGTACCCATCAGAGATGGGTGAACTAGAGTCAGGTACCCATCAGAGATGGGTGAACTAGAGTCAGGTACCCATTAGAGCTGGGTGGAAATGGACGTCCAATGGTCAGCTACCCATCAGAACTGGACTGACTTAAAGAGGTCCAACGGTTGGGTACCCATTAGAGCTGGGTGGACTCATGGAATTCATTAGGCTAACTACCTATCAGATCTTGACACACGTCCTATGGGTTGGGGATGTCAACCGAACCCGAGACTTTCTGATCTGTAACCATGAGCTCTAGTTCTCGATCACACAGCTCCACTTTAAAGAAGTTTTGCCATTTCTCTATTGTTTTAACACGTCTTTGATGGTATGCCGCCCAGGTTTACATTACTAGGAAAATGTTCTAGGATTGTTTTATGTCGTTATTTGAAAGTACTGAGGAAATTATTTTAGTCCTTACTATTTACACCAAGCAGAGATCTACTAATAATTACATTGCACTCGCAAATCTCATCAACGTTTGGAATAAATTAAAATTTAGTATACAAATAAAGCTGTTTTTTTATATTAAGGCGGATTCATAGTACAAAAGAGGACATTGAGAAGGTCGGTTCAGTGGCGTAGCGAGGTCGGGTGTTACCCAGTGCGGTTAGCACCCCCCCCCCGCCCCCGCCCCCCTCGCTACGCCTCTGGATCGGTTGCGTATGTCTATATGTTTTAAAGAGCGGATCAGTTTAAAGCGGTGGTAGATTGAATCAGACCCGGCATAATTGTACCCCTTGTGTAGGCTGATTTGTTTGCCGGCCATCTTAAAGGAAAACCAAGAGAGGGTATTTCTCTGGGTAATTTTCATCCCTCCCTTCTTGGGGTAGCTGATGAATGGCTTAGTCTGGGACCGACCAACAATATGCTGATGTTCCTTTGGTCACGAGCGGTGCTAGACTCGTCTAAATACACAGATTAACACTCGGCTCTGAAGAGATTTAGCACCGCGCCATGAAATTCGATGCTTCGAGGGATTGATGGATGAAATTACTGATAATGGCTGTTTTTCTTCTGTTCAGCTTGCGT